AGAAGAAACAGTAGCATCTGCTAAATGAACACACACACACACAAAACATCCAAGCTTTCCACACCCATTCCTCTTTTTTCCCTTGTTTGAGTACCATCCTAGCCCTGCATGGCTGAGTGTCTAAGACCACATGCTTGTTACCATGGCAACTGTTGCCACTGCTTTGATGGTCATTCCTAAGCAAAATAGAGAATGCCTTGGAAGGGGGTGGCAGTACCAGTGTAGATGTCCCATTACAGTTTGGTTCTTCATTTCCCTTATGGACAGCCCCCTGATTGCTTCTTCCCTTCCCTAGGATTAGGCCCTGTTGTCATGATGGGACCCACGTCTCCTAGCAACCAGCAACTCAGCTGCCTCTGCCTTGGCAACGCTGGCCTTCCTTCCTTTCTAATAAGACCTGAAGGGGCATTTAATGTCAGCACTCACCACAGAGAATGGACATTGTGCAGTTACATGATGCCAGCAGCAAGCTCCGACCTAATCCATCAATGCTTGTCCAAAGGAAGCAAATTACATATAAGCATAGTTTAAAAAAAAAGTGAAACAAAACAAATACAGTGGCTCCTTTACTTGGAAGAGCAAACATGGTTCAAAGTTATATTTACATTTCTAAAAATTATATAAAATAAATTACATCATACACACAAAAGCCTATCCTTGTACAGTGTTTGAATTCAGAATTTTATGTCAATCTGATGCTGATTTTGTTTTTAAAATTCAGGGAAAATAGTACCCCTGAACAAGGGGCGTTTCACCTCCTGCAAGGTAATTACAACCAGTTCCTACATCTTTGAGATCAGAGGCAAGAACCTCTAGGTCAAAAAGTGTGGCAGAAAGACTAAAGTCTCATCCCCTTTCTTATTCTGAATATGGTTGGGGATCCTAGAAGAGCGTGTTGAGCCAGTCAGGGAGAGAAAATCTGCTTTTGCTTGCCCTGAAACGACCTCTACTGGTCAGTTCCAAAACAACAGGCGTGAGAGTTCTGCAAAAACTACCTTTTTTAGTGGGTGGAAGAGCAAGAGGAAAGTGTGCGTGCAAGCACACTGGAACAACTTAATTTGTCCATGGTTTTGACAGTCCCCTTCATTGAAAGAAGGACAAGAGGTTAATGTTGCACTATGGAGTGCTCCTGCTCAGGGATCTATGCCTTCTTCCAGGATATTTCATTAGACCCTCTGTACCCACCTTCCCCTTTGCCCAAACATGATCACTGAGAATGTTCAGTCCTCATTCAACTGTTTTTGATAATCTTTTTTTGCCCCTTATACGGATTTCTTGCCCTTCTGTAAACTTTGGAATTCCCCAGAGCATACTGGGGAATCTCAAAGCTTACAGAGCCACCCTCTTGTTTCTCAGTGGCTCCATTAAGACTCCAAGCCTGCAGACACTCCAGACTTAACTGAGTCTGCTGTCAGAGGAAGTGGTGGCTTAAGGCTATTTTTTTCTTCTCTCCATCACTGTGGGCCTTTTTGAATCACCTTCAAGTCAAAGGATAATATGCAACCAGCCCATCTTTCCCTTACTGTCCACAGATTGAAGGAGTTGACCCTTAAAAGGTAACTACTAAATACTTTAGATGAATAAATGTTGTATTTAGATTGGATTTAGTCTAGACACACACTCCATCTCTCTCTCACTACATTTGTGATTTTCAGTCTCTTCCCCATTCCTCTTCAGAGTAAGTAACTTGTCATAAATATGCAGGCATGTTGTTATTTTATACATGCCATTATATAATGCATGTACAAAAAAGGTGAACACTTTCCTTCAACTAAGGTGTTACTCCCATAAGATGCTACATGCCAGGGCAGCTTTGAGCCAAAGATATAGGTATTTGTTATATTCTGCTAGTACTTCATGAAATATATTGGCTTCCAGGCCCAATTTAAAGCTCTGGTTTCAAAGCTTTGTGGCTTGGAACCAGGTTACCTCGGAGGTTTTCATATAAACTTGCCCAGACCTTAGGCTGCATGTTTCTTGTGATTTGTTAAAGTTTTGTAAACTGATCAGAGAAAATGTTAGACAGTCTTTTAAATAAGATTTAAAAAATCTGCAATCCTATACTCCAATTAATGGATGAATTTCAGTTGTTGCGGCCTGAAGATGTGGACAAGATGCTTGGACAAGTATGCCCTACCACTTGCTTACTAGACCCATGCCCATCTTGGCTACTTAAGAAAGCCAAGGACGGGATTGGGACTTGGATCCTGGAGGTGGTCAACGCCTCTTTAAGAGACGGTCAGGTACCTGCCCATTTAAAGGAGGCAGTAGTCCGGCCAGTCCTAAAGAAATATCCCTGGATCCAGAGGTGGCCGCCAATTATAGACTGGTGGCCAACATCCCATTCCTGGGCAAGGTGCTAGAGCAGGTGGTGGAGGGACAACTCCAACCACTCTTGGATGAAACTGATTATCTGGACCCATTTCAGTCTGGCTTCAGACCCAGGTATGCAACTGAATCTGCCTTGGTCGCCCTGTATGATGATCTGTGCAGGGAGAGAGACAGGGGGAGTGCGTCCCTGTTAGTTCTCCTGGACCTCTCAGTGGCTTTCGATACCATCGACCATGGTATCCTTCTGAATAGACTAGCAGGATTGGGAGTTGGAGGCACCACGTGGCAGTGGTTCCGCTCCTACCTCAATGGCCAATTTCAGAAGGTGGTGCTGGGAGACTATGGCTCTGCGCCATGGCAGTTATGCCATGGAGTTCCGCAGGGGTCCATTTTCTCCCCTTTGCTATTTAACATCTACATGAAACCGCTGGGAGAGGTCATCAGGAGTGTGGGCTGCGGAGTCATCAGTACGTTGAGGATACCCAGCTCTACCTCTCATTTTCCACCAATCCAGATGAGGCAGTGGCTGTGCTGAACCGGTGCCTAGCCGAGGTAATGGGCTGGATGAGGGCCAATAAACTGAACCTCAATCCAGACAAGATGGAGGTCCTGTTGGTGGGTGGTTCAGGCCTCGGGATGGGGGACTTGGGCCTTGTCCTAAATGGGGTTGCACTCCCTCTGAGGGACAGTGTTCGCAGCTTAGGAGTGCTCCTCGACCCTGAGCTGTCTCTAGAAGCTCAGGTGACAGCGGTGGTGAGGAGCGCCTTCCTTCAGCTTTGGCTGATACATCAGCTGCGTCCCTTCCTGGAGAATGACTGCCTGGTGACAGTGACACATGAGCTGGTAACTTCCCAATTAGATTTCTGTAACGTGCTCTACGTGGGGCTACCCTTGAAGACGGTCCGGATACTTCAATTGGTGCAGAATAGAGCTGCCAGATTGCTGGCGGGGACTGGGCGTTGTTCTCATATAACCCCAGTTCTCTGTCAGCTCCACTGGCTCCTGATTGAAGTCTGGGCCCAATTCAAGGTGTTGGTTATGACCTATAAAGCCCTAAACAGCTTGGGACCTGGATATCTAAAGGAACTCTTGCGCCCATATATGCCCTCCCGCCCCTTGAGATCAGCAATGGATGCCCTTCTCCGGGAACCCTCTGTGAATGATATTAGGAGGGTGAGTACCCGGAGGAGGGCTTTCTCTGCAGTGGCACCCCATCTATGGAATGCGCTCCCCAGAGAGGTCTGCCTGGCGCCGTCATTATTTGTTTTTCGGCGCCAGGCTAAGACGTTTTTATTTAAAACTTATTTTAATTGTTAAATTATTGAATTAATTAGGATTTTAAATTTTTTAGCCGAGAATGCACCAGGGGTTTTTAAACGATTTTTTAAATTGTTATATTATCATTATTTATGTATGTATTTATGTATTCTTTGTGAGTTGCCCCGAGGCTTTGTTGCAATGGGGGTGGCATAGAAATGTTTTAAATAAATAAATAAATACTCAATTACCTAAGGGTAAGTGCTGTGAAGCAAAAAGGGTGCACTTATGTAAATGTTCTATATTAGAAAACCAACATCACCCTATTTTCTTTTCTTAAATTAACAAGATTAAGACTGCAATCCTGTCTAGCTACTCACCTGGGATTAAGCCCCATTCAAGACCATGGGATACTTCTTGATACTTCTTCTGAGTAGACATGTATAGGATTGTCCTGTAAAAAATGCTACTGTTGTTGGAATGAGAGGTATAATAGTCTCTTCACCTTCAACTCCCATTTGATTGGGCAAGGGAAAGTATGGAATAAATAACAGGAAAACATGGAAAGGCTGGGAGTGGAGGGTGCCCCACCAACATGGGTAAAATTCCATAAATGATGCAGAACAATGGTGTCTTTTTTGGAAGCAAGGAATAAACCAAGAGTTGGTTCTCTGAGGAGAAGGAGAAGTGTTACTGTTAATAATTAGAAAATATTGCACAGCTGTTTCATTCTTTACTCTTTAATAGATTTTCTGCATTAGAACATAACAAAAGGCACAGTATGTCATTATCTGGACCCCATAACTTGCGAATAAGTCAGAGTGCACCCTTTGCATTTGAAGGTGATGGTGGGTGAAAGGCCACCCATCTTCCTCCACTATAGCACTTCACAGGATCCTTACACCAAAATACACAACACCAAAATACACAACTGGACTATAATCTAGCTGTGTTGTATACTATACATTGAGTTCAACCAACCCAGCTGTAGCACTGTGAACTGCAACTTGTTCACCATCATTATCCTGGTTGGGTTCAAACAATATAACCCACATTTCAACAGCCACCCACACTTAAATCCTTGAGCGTGGGTTATCATAGCATCGAAACTCAAACAATTTTCCGTCGGGTTGTAAACTGTGGATTCTTCACCATGGTTTATTATCTCAGCTGAGTTCAGACAATACGAGGTACCACTAATGACTCCCCACGGCTTCAGCCTGGAATCTTTTCCTGACAAAGCATACCTTCCTATTTAATTCGCCCCATGACATCACTACAGTTGAGTAGGAAGTGGGACTTGGGACTTCTTTCTTTTGACTGGCGGTGGAACAGCCAGTCAGAAGGAAAGAGGAAGTAGAAAAAACACAGTCAGCAACTAGGAGGAGCCCTTAGCGGAAGCGGAAGAAGCTGGAAAGGAGCCGAGGGCGGAAGTGGCGCTGTTTGAGATTTGGAGTAGGGGTAAAGGGGATACTGAGTGGTCGGCGGACTGGTGGTTGCGGCGACGGTCCCGCAGGCGGGAGCGGGTGAGTGGCTGTTCGAGCGGCGCCAGGGCTTGTTAAGGCAGGAGCGGAGCTAGCCTAGGCATGGGTAGCTTTGGGAAGGGCAAGCCGCTTTTGCTTTCCGAGAAAAGCGGGAGGTTGTAGCCGGGGTGGGTGCGGGGGGAAGTGCTGTAATTTTGCTTCTCTCGCGGATGGGGCGTTTGGCTGTGACCAACGCAGTGGAGCCTCCCTATTTAGAAGCAGTGTAGCCTTTGTGTCCCCGTTGCTGGCGCACCGACAGAGGAGGGTTTCTTGCCTTCGTGCCCGGCTTATGGTCTTCCTGGTGGCGTCCGTTCCACCACTGCTAGCAACATAGATGGGCCTCTGCTGTGATCCAACGGGACATGCTCTTATCTTTGGGGCTTCTAATATGGGTGTATGCTCTTGTTAAGCGAGACTGCTGCTGCAGGTAGCGGCTTTATGGATTGCGATAAATAAAATTGTGCCCCTGCGCTGAGGGACTTACATTAAAAAAAAAAAAAAAAAAGCCGCGACGGTAGGAAGGGGGCAAGGGAAAGGGAGAGGTGGCTATTGCCAAGTGTGCTTGAATGTTCGTGTTCAGACGGAGGATTTTTTTTCTTGTATGGAAGTGTGCTGTATTTACAACTGGGAATGCCGTTGCTTCTTTTGAGGTGCTGCTGTGCCTTTAACAGAAGTGGTGTAGAAAAATTCAACAGGTGCAGTTTTCATAGTGTGCAGTAGCTTGAGAGCAGGAAAAGGGAACGTGTGACCCTCCAAATGTTGAACTGCAACTCTTATCAGCCATCACCATTGACTATGCTAGCTAAGGCTCATATGAAGGGCTACCCATTGTCAGACCCTGCTTTTATATAGGACATCCTGCTTTTAGGATAAGGAGGCTGGCTGGATTGATTGTAGGCCACCCAATTCTGATCTGCTTCGGAGTGTTTCTAGAAACCCTGGACCACTGTTAATATTTGCTGCAAGTGTGGGTTGTGTTGAAGCATCTTCAGTTCCTTTTCCAAATGTGCATGCCTATAACAAAAATAAATTAAAGCATTTTTAAAGGAGCTGTGTTGACTATAAAAATCACTCACTCCTCTTAAATTGGGCTCCATTTTTAAATTGTGCACAACCAATAAATGTCCAGTTTTGTTTATATGAATCCTATACGAATTTGTTTATATGATTGCTGCCTGTTTTTCATAGATGGATTTTCTCTTGAAAGGAGCTGGCTTTGGAGCAGTATAGTGGCTGAAAGAGTGAGCTATGAATGGAAGTTCTGTTTGATATTGGGCCACCATTTCTCTCTTTTTGTTCTCTTCCCAACAATGGGGCAAGTCTGGTTTACAATTACAGGCCTATAAGAAATACTGGTATAATATAGAAAAGTGAACTAAATAATGTTTATGAACAGTCTGTAGAAAGACAGAGTGCTACTTGTTAAAGAGAACAGAACTTCCCTTGTATTTTTTGTTCCTTTTGTCATCTGCTTTCTTCTTAATCCATCCCAACCATTTATTGTCAGTCTTTGACTGCCACCATCACTCTGCTCCTGCTCCATTTCCTCTCACCTGTCTCTAGATTTTTTTTTAAGCCTATGGGGCATGGACAGTTTTGCCTGAATGCTCAGTGTTGCTTGTACAGCTAAATATTTTTCTGTAGGAATTTTGCCGCCTCCAAACTGCAAGCATCCTTTCCATATTACATGACTGCTCATTGAAGTTGCCTATTAAATATTGATTCCAACACAGTTTACCTTAGTTTCATAGCTTTTCCCATGTATAGACTTCTGTGTCTGTTGTTTGTTTCCTTCTTATGATAAGGCTGAAAAGGCAGGTGAGGTGTGTAGAACACATATCAAAGCTTGTTCACAATATTATTTAAAGTTTTTCTATACTGTCATTCATTAAAAACCTTGTGATGGTTTACGAAATTGTCCTGTCACACTCAAGTGCAGCCTTTCCAAATCTGGTACCCTCTGTATGTTTTGGACTACACTTCCCAGCATTCTTGACCATTAGCCATGCTGGCTAGGGTAGATGGAAGTTGGAGCTCAAAACATCTGGAAAGCACCAGGCTGGGGAAGACTGCTCTAGGGTGGCCAAGAAACAGGCCTCCTGTGATAAGCTGTTCAGGTAGGAGCAGACCTGATGCTTATGCAAAGCTGCTGAAAGAGCAGGGTAGCTCTTGTTCCTCCAGTGGACCTACTTTTTCTCCTGTGTAAATGAATAGTGGTGGTTTGCTTCTATGGAAATAAGTGCCACACTAGGGATGCTGCTGTGGTGTGCGCTGGACCCCCACCCCCTTGGCTTGAGTGGATTCCTTCTCACGCACTGGATTCTGTAAGGTAGCTATCTCTAACCTAGGGAGTGGCCATTCTGGTTCTGGGTGATGGGAGTTGTAGTCCCATACATCTGGAGGGCATGAGGTTGGGGAGGCTGCTGTAGACCAGCGTTTAGGCCTGCAGGATTGACACTGTCTCCATTCTAGAACCTGAGTTTCATCAGCTGGATCATGATCCAGGAAGCTAGTTTGAAGTGCCAGAAGTTGAACATGCTGTTTTTCTATACAAAGTCCATTCCTGATTACTCCAAGTTTTCTTTATTTCAGCAGTATAAACTAGGGTGAAGAGTCATTTTGTTAAAGAATTCAGAGTGAGAAATTCTTACCAAGTCATCCAAGGATTTGCTGGAAGATCCAATCTACTTGCTCTCCACAGCTGCTGTAGAGGGGTATTACATTTATTTAGTTAGGGGTTTTTTTTTTGTTTTGTTTTTTGAAAAAAGTTACTGCAAGCTATAGCCCAATTTAGGGCTCCCTTTGTGGTGTACATTCCATTAAAAATCAACAATACAGTAAAAAACTCCATAACATACAACAATATTACAAAAAGAGAAGGTATAGCAGTTTAAAATACCAGTTAAAAGTTCATAAAATATAGACAATATAAAAATGTAACAATAAAATTTTAATTATTAGAATATCTAGAAAATAGAACAGTCTTAGTCTAGCATCAAAATGCTAGTAATGAGAGCACCAGGCATATTTCTTTGGGGATCCCATTGCAGAGGTGAGGTGCAACCACTGAGAAGGCCCTTCTTCTGTTTGTCTCTGCCCCCCCCCCCACTTCTTTGGGGAATGGTTCTTTAAGAGGGGGCTCTATCTCAGATCTTAAAGGGCAGGTAGATATGGGAGAAGGTGTCCTTCAAGTATCCTGGCCCCAGGCCATTTTGGGCTTTATATGTCAAAACAAGCATTTTAAATTGGGCCTGGAGCTCAACTGGTAGCCAGTGTAGGTGGTAAAGGACTGGCATAATATGGGTGTGCAGGCTAGCTTTGTCAGCAGCTGTGCAGCCATATTCTGAACTAGTTGAAGTTTCCAGGGCATCTTCAAAGGCAACCCCATATGGGGGGTATTAAAATAGTCCAGCTGGGATGTTACCAGAGCATGAGTAACTGTGGCCAGGCTCTGTCTGTCCAGGTCGGGCTGGAGTTGGTATATTAACTGCAGCTACAGGAAGGCATCCCAGCCACTAAGTCTACCTGAGACCTGAGTGATGTTCTGGGTCCAGGAGCATCCCTAAGCTACAGACTGTCCTTCAGAGGGAGTGTGACCCCATCCAGGGCAGGTTGAAGCCCCGCTTAACCTGGCAGATGATCCTCCCACCAATCTTTCCTGGACTGAGCTTCAGCTTGTTGGCCCTCATCCAGTCCATTACTGAGCCCAGGCAGTGGTTCAAAATGAACACCACCTCACCTGGATTTGATGTAAAAAAAGTAGAGCTGAGTATCATCAGCATATTGCTGACATCTCAGCCCAGACCTCCAGATGACCTCTCCCAGCAGTTTCATGTAGCTGTTAAAGAGCATGGGGGATAGCACAGAGCCTTGTGGAACCCCAAGGCATAAATGCCGTGGTGCAGAGCAGCTGTCCCCCAGTATCATATTCTGGACACGTTCAGGTAGGCATGCAACCACTGCAAAGCCGTGCCTCCAACGCATAGTCCAGCCAGCCCATCCAGAGGACACTATTGTCGATGGTGCTGAGAACCACTGAGAGGTCCAGGAGAGTCAACACTCTGCCTCGCCCCTGGCAAAGATCATCCCCACAGGGCAATCAAGGCAGTCTCTGTCTTGAAACCCAGCCTGAAGCCCAATTGAAATGGATCTGGATAATCCACTTCCTCCAGGGAAGGAAGCTGCTCTGCCACCACCCACTCAAACACCTTGCCCAGAAAGGTGATGTTTCCTGCAGGTCTATAATTGGTCACATCCCCTAGGTCCAGGTTCAGCTTTTTTAGTAGTGGTCTCATCACAGCTGCCTTTAAAGAAGCTGGAACTGCTACTTCTCTTAAAGTCACATTGACAGCCTCCTGGACCCAGGTGTGATTCCCCTTTCTTAATCTATTATTAAGCCAAGATGGGCAAGGGTCAAGTAAACAGGTGGCAGGACATACAGAACTAAATATCCTGTCCATCATTGGGTTACAATTACTGAAATTCACCCATTAAAACCAGACCCTATGGTAATCTGGACACATTCCTCACATCCCTATGAGATTTTTGCAATATGCAACCTTTCTTCCGTATGGTTATTGCATTCTGGACTAACATAAAACAACATTGGGGTTGTTCCTTGGTGAGAGATGTTTGCAGGGGAAAGTGATGTATATATGGCTGAACCTCACTGAATTGTGGTTAGGTCTATAATCACCTGGCTTGCATGACATGACAACCCATCTCATGTTTCTAGTCATGGTGGGTTGTCTCAGACGACTTTCTAAAAGGTGGCTTATTTTTTTGGCAACAAGTCACCCTGACAATATGGATTTTTCTAGGGTTTGTTCAGTCCACAGAGAGTTGCCAATCTTGTCTGAATCCAGGAGAGCATTTTCATTGTGGGTTGCAGGGATTGGCTAGCAGAGTAGTAAAACTCTCAGCCACTTTTTATGATCTTGTGCATGTCCAGTCCTAGACATAAATTGTGAAATCCGTGTGGATGTTTTAGGCACAGTAGCTTCTTAAAGTAATGTTCTGTAAGTAAAGAACAGAAGAAATTGGGCAAGTTCATACTTCATGTTAAGTCACCCTGAAAATAAGCTGATAACTGTGCAGCAATCATTGCCTGCAACCTAAAAACCATTTCAGATTATATATATTCATTCAGTGATTGCCCTTCCACAGTATTTGTAAGAAAACAAAAATACTGCAGTCAACCACATTACAATGGTAGTTAATATTTAATACCTAAAATAACGGAGTCATCTTATTGTATTACACTTCCGCAGAGTTTTCTTATAGAGCTTTCTTTTAAAGACCAGCAGTTTCTGGAAAAATGATCTAGTAACAAAGTTTGACTAATTTCCCCAGATATTCAGGTTTCGTTATCAGTGGCTACTGACAAATGCTGACTGTTTCGCTTTCACTTCTGAGCTGCTGTGATGAAATTTGTAAAATGCTTAACTGTTTTCAAAGGTCAGCTGATTATAGTACTTCTGTTTTAAGTTATACAGTGCAATATAATTGTTGACATTCTTTTTAAATTCTTGCAGCAACCTAATACGTTAGGTCTAGATGATTCTCCTTTGGAGGATGCTACATGGAGTGGGAACTGAGTGAATGGTTTGCTTCAGGTAGCCTGTTGAGCCCCTGGAGTAAGAGTTGTATCACTTGGTGTTATTTTGTTAAAGGAGAGGAACAGATTTCCTCTTAACTCCAGATCTGCTCCAGATAGTTAAGGGTCCTTCCACAGCAGCTTTAGAGCATGCACTGGGGCAGGGATTGGAGAAGAGAGGATAGGGGAGTGGATGTCCCATTGTGCAAGAGCTGGATTTATCCCTTAAGATCTCATTTATAATTTGGTATCTTGGCTGCTATGCTGAACTAACATTCAGCCTGATCAATGTTGAAAATGTCTTGTTCTATTGGCAAAATGTTAATTAACCATCCAGTTTTTATTTATTTTAAAATTTATATACCACAACTATGTACTTCTCTGGTCTTGACTTCAAACCAGTTTCTAAGCTCCATGTGTAACACTTCAGCAACCACTTCAAAACTGGTGTTCACATAGCTGAAATGTCTTTTCTCTTTTCTAGCTGGAGATTCGTTTTCCTCGCCAACAGTCCAGCCTCCTCATTGGAGTCCAAGGCTCTTGTGACAGGCCATGGCGGGCCGTGGTGGAGCTGCACGGCCAAATGGACCAGCTGCAGGCAATAAGATCTGCCAGTTCAAACTGGTACTTCTGGGAGAGTCAGCTGTTGGGAAGTCCAGCCTTGTTTTGCGCTTTGTGAAAGGACAGTTTCATGAGTACCAGGAAAGCACAATTGGAGGTGAGCATTGGTAGAATCAGTGGCGAGCAAAATGTCTTGCTTGGTAGTCTGAATATTTTCTGCAATTAGATAACTACTTCCATGCTAGCATGTTGCAGAGGATTCTAAGAGTGTTCAGCGATGCCTATTACCTTAAAGTGGGGCATTGCAGGCTATTAGCCTGATGTGGACTGTGTGTTGGTGAATAGGGAGCAATCTGTTGGTGGCAGAGAGCAGGCTATCTTGAGAAAGACTTGTCCATCATCATGGAAGCTCATTCAGGAGCCCTGAGACGTTGAAAGCCGCTGATCTTATTGGTTTCCAAAAGTGTTCCTCTACTCAACAGTAGCTTCAGATCTAAATAGGATGGTGTAATTTAGTGTCCTGCAATAGCAGAGGGTTGGACTCAATGGCCTTCTGGCCCCTTCCAACTCTACAGTTCTATGATGGAGATAACTTGGCTGAAGGAAGTGATGGCATCTAGGGTGGGGATGTGGTGTCCCTAGCACATGGCCTAATCGAGCCCACAGAGGTTATCCATCTGGTCCACAGCCTCCTTGAATCCCTCCAAAGAGAAGGACTTGGTTTGTAGCTATTAGTGGGGCCTCCCCTGCATGGTGCTCCACCTTCTAAGTGCCTGACGACATCAACCAGTCGACAGAGGGCCTGGTGCAGGACAGTTTGGTTCCCCACCTTCAACCAGCTCTGCAGCCCATGCTTGGGAATGCTAGTTAATCTGTCTCAAGGCTTGACTCTTAAGCATCCTGTTGCCACTCTTTTGTAAAACTTCAGGTGCAAATAGCAAAAGGAAGAGAAGGCTACACACATACATAGACACATAGAAATGTCAGACAGGCAAAGTCTTTGTCTTGAGCAGATTGGCCAGCTGAATGCCAAGGGCTATAGCAGTTCTTGCTTCACCTCTTAGGACTTCCCCTGTCAAGTTCTGAGCACCCACACAGGCCTTGGCAGTTCCTGGCACAAGTCTAGCAAAGTGAGCATTTCTGGTTTGATGTGAGTCACAGGAATGTCAAATCTTGTTTGCTTTCATAAAATACTGCATCTGAAGAGAGAAGGCTACTTAAGAGCTGGTTAGCCTGGCTTGTCCCTTCTGCATGTGTTGGGTTATAAGGACTGAGCTTGGCACTGGCCTTGCTTACCCTGCTGTGGATGCAATTACACAGGTTGTGTCTACCTCCACCCAAATGTACTTGTGTAAACCCTGGTTCACCCGAAGGCCCTACTTCATTTCACTTTCTGCATTCCCTCTTTTGAAAGGCTTTGAGATTAGGAAAGGCAGGGCTTTTTTAAAAATGAAGGCATTACCATACTAACACTAACTTGTTTAGTCTTGGATGAATGCCTGTCCAAAGTGGAAAAAATCATGTAGTTCTTCCAAAAGTACTTAGATTCTAAATGTAGCATGGGGGGGCATTGTGCAAATTGGGGGCAGGGAAGCACCAGAAGGTCATTCTGTGTACCTTAACATTTGAACTCTGTCTGCATAAGCTGTTTGTAACTGACATGGAATATATGCATCTGTAGATGATGGAGTGGGTCACATAACACCAAGGCTTACTCCCTCGCATCTTTCTCCATGTAGCCTGTATATGTCAAAATGTGAACTGATCATTACTCCAAGCTTTTGCCTACAAGCGGGGCTCCTACATATGAAGCCCTTCTTCCCCTGTTACCATGTATTGTTCATAGCTAAATCCTGTGGCCTGTAACATGCTTTCAAAAGACTGAAAGCAGATATACTGTAGAAGACTCTCAGCAGAGTAAATGGTGTCTTATGGATGAGCCATACTACAGGGAACAGCAGGTGCTGTTCGGAGCTTGAGCATGAGAAACCAGTCCACAGTGTTCTATCAAATGAACTCTCATTCGGATGTAGTGATGAACTTTACTTGGTCACAGCACTGTATGGAGGTCAAGAAGAAAGAAAGATAGTGCATGTCGCTTCTCCATGTACAAACTCCTGATAAAAGAACAGGCACTTTTTAACTCCAGTAGGCCAAAAAGCATTGCAATATTGGAGTAAAAACAGATGTCTCTGCTTGGTCATCAGAGAAAAGCATACTTCAAGCACACTTTAAGCTTCAGGATGTTTACAGTTTAAGAAGACAGACTGGCCTTTCTGTATTAGGGCTCAGATGTGCAAGTGAAACACAATTTTGTGGAATAGCACTTAAGTGGTGCTCAGGCCCCCGTTTCACTGCTCATTGTGGTAACTCTGTCCTGACTCTACTGTTTCAGCTGCCTTCCTCACACAGACCATCTGCCTAGATGACACAACGGTCAAGTTTGAGATCTGGGATACAGCCGGACAAGAGCGCTACCACAGCTTGGCACCCATGTACTACCGGGGTGCGCAAGCAGCCATTGTTGTCTACGACATCACCAACATGGTGAGGATGAGCATAGATCAAATGGGGTTCGGACTGACGTGCCTGGTAGTGTTTCTTTTCTGGATCCTGTCTTCTCCGGACCTTGAATGATGCATGATGTCCAGCATGTAACTATCAAGGCAAACAGAGCTTCTTGGCTTTCCTGCATTTTGAATTTAGCATCTGCCTGCTGCAGCGATTTACACAAAGATTCTGTGCATATAGAAAAGTAGCATGTTCAGTAGCAGAGTGAGACTAGGAGGCTCCACCTGCAGTCTAAGTGCTATGGCACAGTCACATCTGCTTCTTCATCGAGAACTGAGCCTCATTTTAGAATGTTTAAATACAAGCTATTTTCTGGTAATTTTCATTTCCCTACATAGGGGTTGTGACTCTAGTCAAAACCACAGTTCTCAGAACACCTAGCAAAATCTTTGAAATTAAAATCTGACTTTAGGAATCTTGGTTTTATACATGATTTCATTTTTAGGCACTTTTCTGGAAATCTAAGATACTGAGGGGACTTGAACAATTGCAAGTGGAAAGACCTGCACTAAGCCTCAGAATTGCAGGCTCTGTGTGTGTGATGCCGAAGAATAACAACCCAGGATTCAATTTAGCTTCATTGGATCTTAAATAAACTCATCAAACTCATAGAACAACATGCCTTAGATGGTTTTTATCTGGCTTCTTCAACTAGATTTTTAAAGTTTATAACTAATATAACTAAGATACAACAAAATTAGAGTTCATTGTAAACCATAGTTCCTGGTTCTCACATAATAACCAAATGTGTACTGGAACAAATTCTGGTTCATTCTTCCTGATTTCATAGGGAGAAGGGAGTGCATGAGCCCAGGACTTTGTGTGGGTGCTTTTCTACCAGCTCTGATTTATAGCTTAGCATTATGTGCAAATACAGCCACTGTTGAAAGGCTAGTAAATAAAAGGTAACCATGTTGGTTTCTTAGAGGAAAACAAAAAGTAATTATTATTAGGAGCAACCAGTTTCTGTCTGGCAATTGAGGCTGGGTTATGCAATTCTTCCTCTAGCTGGGTGTACAAAAAGAAATCAAAGCCGACAGGTACCTTTAATATGAGGCTTCAGGAGAGTTCTGTAGAACTTTTAAAATGTGTGTGCCATGTTGAAGAACTAGGTTTTAATAAGTAGCAGTTTACATTCCCTGTTCAATCTTTGCTAAACATTACATTTTCAAATTTACCACATTTTCCTCTTCTTTGCTTAACTGTTAATAATTTAGCAGGATCCACAATTACTAATGTTGTAAAATTTAATTTTTTATAAGTAGCTTTGATGTAGATCAAAGTCTTTTCTTTTGTCACCTTTCTTGTCTTTGACACACAAAACCTAGATGAAATTGATGCCCTCTCTGACCATTAAATAATATTACCATGAATCTTAAGAACTGCCCATAGAGCTACCTTGGAAATTTGACTTTTATTTGTGGAGGTCCCCCTACTAGTAATACATGCTAAGAAACCGCAAGCTGCGCTGCATCGGTCTAAAGCTGTGTCTAGTCCAACATTCTGCTTACACAGTTGTCAGCCAGTAGCCTCTGGAATGACTGCAAACAGGGCCCCAGGAAATAGCCCCTTCATGCCCATGTTCCTCAGCAACTGCTGTCAAGGGAAGGAATACAACCCATTGGGTGGACTGAGAGGAGGAAGAGAATTATGTAAGCCACCTTGAGTGCCTCGGAAGGAAAAATGTGGCTAATGAGTAAATAAAATAATAAATACCCATTGTAACTCAATTGAGGTGCCTCTCAATGAGTCTTAACATTCTGTGAATTTATCTTATTTATTAGATTTATATCCTACCTTCATTTTTAAAGAACTCAAAACAGCTTACGTAATTTTCAACTTCCTGCTGTCAGTCTTATCCTCACAACAACACTGTGATGTAGGTTGCGCTGAGATTGGCCCAAAGTCACCCAGTGAGTTCCATGACCGAGTGGGGACTAGAACTCAGATCACCCGAGTCCCGGTCCCACACTCTTAACTGTTACACTGGCTCTCCCTGCTAAAGCAGCCTAAGTTGGCTATAGCTGCATGAATGCTCTTACATGTTAATCCTATTTGCTGGGTCAGTATGCCTGTGCGTACATGAGAACTTATAGGCACTCCTAGCACTGAAATGACAGCAGAACTCTTTCTTGCATTGATCTTTTTCATAGGATACTTTTGTGCGAGCCAAGAACTGGGTGAAGGAACTGCAGCGGCAAGCCAGCTCTAACATAGTCATTGCCCTGGCAGGGAACAAGGCTGACTTGGGCAGCAAGCGAGCTGTTGACTTCCAAGTGAGTGGAGTTTTGATCCTGTGAAGTGTTTTTAATTCCACTCCATGAATGTGTGTCTAACAACTGTTTAGTGCCTCTCCTTGCCACAAATAAATTGGATTCCTTTGGCATAGAGTGTCCTGTACAGAATGTATCAAATGAAGACATCAGCAAAACTAGTTTGACTGGAACATGTTGTCTAATAGCCACTAGATCAGGGCTATGAAATGGGAAATGCCTGGTTCAAATTCCTCCTCTGACATATGCCCACTGGTTCACTTAAGCCCTGAGGCAAGCTTCATTTTTGTTTAATGCAGGCCTACACTTTTCAACTATAACTATTCTTGGACTGCTTAATTATAATGTGAATGATATTACCTTCATAGTGACACTTTTGAGAAATGCCTCCATGTATTGAAAAGGTTGGATACTCTGAAAATTATTTGCTTGTTAATTTGAGATAAATCCTTAGGCAAGAGGTACATGTTGGTTATATGTGGTTCACTGTGGGCTCTTCCCAAATCTGTATTGTGGATAGTATAACAGGGTTGCTGTTAAGGATTTCAACAGGATAATTGTTGCACAGTCTCTAAAGTGCTATATAAAAGGCCCAAGACATTGTAGGGAGTTGTAGGGGGGTTTTTTGCTGTCTAAATATGCATGGGATTGTACCTGTACCAGTTTAATCCGGTCAGGTTTCAACTTGCGATCAAACCTCTCTGATATGCAAAGTAGTTAAGTGAAGGACATTCCACATTTCTTTTGCTGCATTAGGTCAATGTGAACAGTGGAGTTACCAGTTCAAATGGAGTGACAGCTCTGTACCAGTTGGATGGCAACCAGCTCCTATCTCCGCTGCCCATATGCAATATGGGGAGGATAATGCTAGCTTACCTTTGAACTTTTTTTTCCTAACTGGACACTTTCCAGATGTTTTAGATTTTAACTCCCATCAGACTCAACCATCCTGGTCAAGAATGATACAGTTATTGTCCAAAACATCTCACTTAGTCAGCATCTTCCTTCTAGAGCCCCTCCAGCTCTGGATATTCAGTGAGTAGAGGCCGCAAACAAAACTTACATAAGAGGGATGGTGGTACTTTGTTAGTCTCTCTTGTTACTACTCTCACTTGTGAATTGTCACTATGGAGCACTGGTCAGGTCACCAAAAGAAGGCTGAGCGTGTCTTCTAACCATGCTGATATATTAACTTGCAGGAAGCCCAGACATATGCAGATGACAACAGTCTGCTGTTTATGGAGACATCAGCAAAGACAGCAATGAATGTGAATGAAACCTTCATGGCAATCGGTTAGTAAGTCAGAAGGAAGTGGAATGGTGAATGTTCCCCATGCTGCCATGGGTTGTGGGCTAAGCATAATGTCATGGTGTAGACCAGTTGTGGGTTCCTGAGGTGTCCTGGGAGGAAATGGTTAGCTGCAAAATATAGAGTGCAGACTTGAAGGAAGCCACAGGAGTTGTTGACAAGTGTTGTCAGGAGAGTTGGATAGTTGCCTGACCCCAGGAGGCTGAATAGGAGGAAGTCTCAGGGTAGTGGAGCTGCAATGAGGGAACATAGAGTCTGTGGCGTGCTGAGATGTGGGATTAAAAGGAGAGTGTAAGAGGTGGTATAAATGAGGGTCTTTGGGGAGAAGTGGTAGGTAAGCAAAGAAGCTTCAGGGGACATGGACTATGAATGCCCAAGAGGCTTGGGATGGACGCATGAAATATATGCATACACACCTCACTAGATTAACCAGTTGAAGCTTGGAGTGCAAATCTCCGGTTGAATAACAGTAGGAAAATTGGGTGGTGCCAGCTTATCAGATCTAGGATGCCTCTAATCAGAAATGGTTCTTCCATTGCTTGTTCTTCCCATGGCAGGAATCATTAAGAACCATTCCTGAATATGCTTTCTCTTTCCTCAGCTAAGAAGCTCCCCAAAAGTGAACAGCCATGTGCGGCAGGGTCAGCAGGTAGGAATCGAGGTGTCGACCTCCAGGAGAGTAGCCAACCCAGCAAGGGGCAGTGTTGCAGCAACTGAGAGATTCCTGCTTACTCCTTCAGGCAGCCCCAACTGGAATGCACCTGAACCAATCACACTTACAGAAGAACAGCTGCCAAGATCCCTCCTTTTTTCCGTCCCCAATTCTTCCTCTTTTCTTCATTCTTCTGATTACAAAATGTGTGTGAGGAGGGGGAAGCAAAAACCACCTCCTCTTCTATACAAATGATGAATTCGTATTTTTTAAAGTCTTAGTCACCTTTTTAAAACACAAATGAACTGGGGCATTCCTCTACCACTTTTCATGGGTAGATGGTGATGCATGTCTTCAGCGCTTTGGTCTTTCTGTTCTTTGCCTTTTATTTTTCTGAAGGATTTTACAGCCTTGCACTGTCTCACAGCTGCTTAGAAGACAGAAATTCCTGTCTAAGACAGGATGTGACTTTTGGAATGTCAGCTTGGTGATTCTAAGCCACTTCAACTGGTAGGGCTTATCCTGTGGTAGTTAAAGGCTGGGGAAGATGTGGAGAGTTGTGGACCTACTATTTCCAGGGTTCCTTGGCTGGGAGCCTGGTTTAAATATGGCATAGGCTTGGCCTTTAATTAGCAAGTTACAGAACACACAGGTAACCACTAAAAGAAAATGTAGCATTAATGCTAGATCGAGAGAAACCTCTATGCCTTGTTTTGACCAAATCACAATTATGAGTATTGGCAGGGTGGGGTTGGGGGGTGGGGTGCTGATTTTCTTCTGTATTTTGTATTCTAGTTTTCAACATGTAACCAATCAGTATCTCTTTAATTACATATACAGACTAGCCTTTTGCCCACCTCTGTTTGCATTGGGCTTTGGGTATACCAACTCTGCATTAATTCTTTTATTTACATTTTGGATGTAATGCACTAATTCAACCTATTGAGAAAAAATTGTATAAAAATTATCACTTTTTTGATGAACAACCTGCTGCCATTGCTAATCATCCTATAGTATATGTTGATGAGTGTATAGATGCAGTAGGTAGGAAAAATGGACACAAGCTGGGCTGTGGGGGGCAAAAACATGTATTCACATACAGACAGAATATTGTTAATTCCACTAAGTAAAGCTGCAGAAGGAAGGTTACAGATTTTGCTTCTGATCTAGTGCCTAAAGCAATTTTGTCTTACTCATACTGGTATTTAAGAGAGAGTCTACATTGGTCTCTTCAATACAAAGCTCCTGTTGTGTATGATTTAAAAAATTTTATAAATCTGATATTGACCAGAACTGACCTGCTTCTGTTTTCTGTACTAAGCCTACTCAATGACCAGTATGTCCACTATAATTAACTGGAAATAATGGGAATTCTTCACTGAAAATGGGCCAGGTGATACACACTGTATATTTTGTTGTTTATTCTCCATTGTTTGGTTAAACTGCTGAAAACATTTGTTTTTGCAAATATTTAAGTGCTTCTTCCCAAATATTGTTTCAAGAAAGACTTTTCTCTACAGGTGTCTTTGAGTAGTAGGATGTTTGTTAATAACCCATGATATCACAAACAGCTTATCCTAAGTTCCCAAGAAGTTTTGTATAGTATATATGGAGTAAAATATAATGTTGAAAGTGCTGCAGCTGTAAAGGAAATATGAAACCAAGTACCAGGAAGAGAATATTCATTAATGCTGAAGAGCTGTCTGACATAAAGTGTGTGTGTGGGTCGGGGGAGGCCAGAGAAGGGTTCTGCAAAACATATTGATTGGAGCTGGGGCAGCCTGGGAAAGTGATTGAAAGAAGGGTGACAGGCAATTAGGAAAAGGATGTGGGGTGGAGGGGAAAAAATGGAATAACTTGGGAGAAGGGAGTAGGGTAAAGCCTTCATCTCTTTTCAATGATCCTAGCTACACAGAGGTAATTTGGTAATGAAGAGACTGATAACCAATGATCTGGGTGAACTTTGGGGTCTTAGGTCTTGGTTGACATAGGGGAGACTTAACACCTAGAAGTACTACCATAACTTTAAGTCTGCTTGTCCCATAGAATCATAAAAGGGCCCAGCTCTTTCCTGAAAAACAATTCTTAAGAATATCCAACAAGCACTCCAGAGATGGGATTTATACAATCTCTCCTCAGGTACCTTTTCATATAAAAAGCATTCTATAGGTGATGGGGACTTCAAAAAAAAGCATTGCTTTCACTAACCACTTAGGTTTGGAATTTAACTGTCAAGGATCCAAAACAAAGCTTTTAGGAACGGTACAGAGCACAGGTAGGGCAACCTTTTTCGCCCTGTTATGTATATCTGGCAATTTGAGACATGGTCTTGGGTGCCCCCACAAAATGGGGTTAAAATAAAGTAACTAGCCCAGAAAGACTGAGCTGAAGGCTGAGGTGGAATTTGAGCCCCAACACATTAAACTATTCCTTCGAATGCACCATTCTCAGTACCAAAAGGAGCATGTATCTTGGAAGGGAAACCTCCTGTCCCTCTGCCAGCCAGTTAATTTCCCTCCTGCATCTGTTTTTGGATCAACACTGATACCTGCTTATCAACCATGAACTCAGTTCAGATATCTTTTTCCTGCAAGTACATGAAAAACCATACATGTTTTTCAGGCTCCCTGCTAAACCCTTTCATCTCACATCAATGCCCCCATTCAATGAGGCACACAATGCTTTCCCACCGCCTGATTGGTTCTAGCTGGCTCCCCCAGCTCCTGCTGGCTTGCTGATGCTCCCCCTCCACTTGACCACCTGCCAACCTACATTGGCTTGTTGCTGTCTCCCCTCCTGCAGTTCACCAGAGCAGAAGTGATAAGAGTCCATTTTACCTCTCAGCTTGCTGTACTGCTAGCATCGGCCTACAGCCACCCAGGATCTTCATTTTGCAAGGAGTTTTCTATGGTTGAGAGGCATTCATAAGACATAAAGATGGCAGTTGCTATCTTTGAAGTAAGAAAGTGTTTCTTACTCAACTGCAGTAATAAAATGTTTTAAACAGAGGACATCCCAACAGACAGGGATTTGGGATACACTGGAGCCCTTGGATATCCATTACAAAAAATTAAATATAGATCTTTCACAGAACTATACACTTACTAGTTAAATGGCTGAAATTGATTTTGATATGTAATGTCAACTTTAGCATGTTAATAGGACAGTCATGCTGTTGTACTTACACTTTTCTCACCTTTTACACTTTAAAATCTATCATTAAATCTCACATTCATGGAAGGTCAGTAATGGAACATTTGCTTGTGAAGTCTCTGTTGCCATCTCGCATGAAAAAGATCTCGGGTGTTATGGCTACAGAAGACTGGAGACCTGCTACCAACCAGGACAGCATTGGGCCAGCCCAGCCTTCTGCAACCTGGTACTCAAGAGTTGTGTAGGGCTAGGACCTCCAGCATCCCCAGTCAACTCTGTAATCCAAAACATGTTGAAGACACCCAGTTGGGTATGGCTACCGGCTGTTTGTATAAGGCAGCTTTGTATACCTTACTTGAATACCCGTGTCACTTGTTCCTGATCCTACCTTTTTAACTAGCCAAAATCCTAGTGAAGCTGTGAACAGCCATCCAGAGACCCACTGGGTATTAGACCGGGTAAAAATACTCAAACAAACAAAATAAACTACAAAATCTCCTCATTCTTTATTCATCTCCTTAAGGAAGCCAAAGTTCTGACAAATCAATTTGGGTAATATTCCATGATATATGCCTTAACTTTTTAATGCTTATAGTGCTGTGGTTCTGGTTCTAATCTGCATGCAGCCAAACTGGAGAAATTGTGTTGTCCAACTGTAGACTGAATGCTGTTCTTATAAGCCAAATGGAAGTGCTTCAGTTTGTTCAATGTCTTTTTGTGATCAGAGGGAAACAGGATTTTGGATGCCTTCTTTTAGTTTACATTTTTAAGTGTTGCTAAAGCATTCTGTCTGTGTTCAGAGCCAAACCAAACCCGAATGTTCCTTCCAGAAGTGCTTACTCTCATAGTTATGCTGTAAAGTCTCCATGAGTCTGCAATATTAAAAAATCATAAAATATTTTATTCAGTTAATTTAAGAGTATTTCCAGTCTGACTCCAGCTTACTATAAAAAGGTCAATTTAAAGGAAAAAATCTTCCGTATTATCAATTCCAAATATATTCGACTCACTAATTTCTACACCTGGGTTCAAGGAGATCAATCTCTTAAACCAATCTACGATGCACAAAGGATCACATACTTATATTTTTATCACTTCACTTAAGCAACAAAATTCACCCCTGGGTTGTTGTTGTCTTTTTTAAGTTATGGTTCGGTAAGAGAAGAGAGAGGAGAAAGGAGTTTCTATTACCTATTAAACACCCCAGGAACGGCAGATACCTGTAGAACTACAACCCCCAGCATGCAACTGGTGGCACGGAATATGCGTACAACATCACACCCACAAATCAAAAGCCCCCTCCCAGCCTCTGCCCATGCGCACTGGCGTCCACGCGCCCACGCCGTCCCGGAGGGTCCCGGGCATCATGGCGGAGCCGGAGGTCTCCTCACAGGCTTCCCGGACCCCGCAAACTTGCGCTCCCTCGGGCGCCACCGTCTCTGCAGCCACAACTCCGCCGGTGGTGGGGGTCGGCGGAGCTGGGGGAGGCAGCGGCGGCGGAGGCGGCGGCGGAGGCGGCAGCAGCGATCCGGTTCGCCCGGGATTAAGCCAACAACAGCGCGCGAGCCAGCGAAAGGCGCATGCGCGGAGCTTCCCGCGGGCAAAAAAGCTGGAAAAGCTAGGGGTATTTTCCGCGTGTAAGGTACGGGGGCCTGGAGGGGACAAAAGTCTGCGATAACGCCCCCAGGTGCGCGATTTAGCCATCGTTGCATCCTTCCTGGGGTAGGAAGAGATACTGCGAATTGGGAAACTGTGTTGCATGCAGTTCGCTACTTGTTTTCGCCACCGGTTGATGTGTATTTAGATTTTTAATCACCCGCATGCAGTGAGCAAATAACAGCATTTAGATATTATGTTTTGGATGTAAAGAGCTTCGGTACAAACCACTGGCTCATCTGGCCTGTACTGTTCCTCATCCTGATGTCCTGCAGATGCGTTGGACTGCAGTTTTCATCATTCACAGCTAGCATGGTTAATAGCCATGCTAGCTGGTGGTGATTGGAAGAATATCCAACTACATCTACCGGGTACCCGTTTGAAATACAATATTTTATAGCCCACCTTCACAGGATCCATTGACTAACAGGGTCAAGAATTCGGTCTGGAATCTTCTGCATGCAAAACGACCTTTGCTGAGCTGTGGCTTTTAATTATTTATTAACATAAATCAGAATGAACATGTACAATTTTTAAAAAGGCAACACCAAAATTCAGTGTTGCCTTAAAAACTTAATAGATGGTGTGATATTCTATTCTCATTCATACAGCAAACTGACAATTTCTCTTGGCTGATTTTTTTAAAGCAGCCATCAAGTGAATCCTGAAAAGTACAGTGCGTTCTAAAGACTTATATGACCTTCCTAAAAGAGACACACAAGTCTAAAGAAGGAAGGAGTGACATTTGTGAAATTAATTGCTGAAAAATGCTATGGTAGTGTTTTACATGAATCCCTTTTCTTTTTAATTTGAGGCTAGCTGTTCAGTGGTTGGAACATGTGGCTAAGCAAATCAGTGTTTAAAGAACATTATATATAGCCAATATGACTTTTAAGCAATTACTTGCCCTGACACTTCAGGATGGGTTTAGCATCATTGGGACTGGTAACTGATGAAATGGATTTAGTCACAGCTGGTAAATGGACCAAATGAGCTCTTCCAGTTTCCTGGTTTTGGCAACTGTGACTTGTCAAAGAAGTTCTAGTGCCCCACAGTACATCTTCTATTGGTTCATCTTTGCTGGAAAAGCCCTGGTGGCGGGTGAAGCAAAAACTGTTGATGTGTTGCTTTCTGTTTCATGGCTTTCAAGGGGTAGCATATATTCACAACTATTAAGCAGCAGGCTTGCACCACAAAAACTTAAAGCAGGCTTGTAGTCACTTGCCTGATGGCCTGTGCTGAGTAAAAATCACCTTTGGGTGACCAGGAAAGGACATTTTGCAGAAACTTGCTATGTTTATTTGTTTTTGCCTGTTAGGTCACAATAACTGTGAGCTTGTGGGGGAAGTACACTGGACATTGAAAATAGTTTGTAGACAAATAAGTTAGAGGGGCTTAAATACATTGAAACTCAATCCAGATAAGGAATGTTATGACATGGAGTACCTTCAAGCTGGTAGTACAGCTATGCTGGATGGGGATAGCCTGGTAACTGACAGCTTCCTCCCTCATGAATCTCTACAATTCCTTTTTTAAATTGATCCAGATTGATGGCCATCACCACTTCCCATGACAGCGAATTCCACAGTTGGTCTCTATGCTGCTGGAAGAATTTCCTTTTATCTTTCTTAAACCTCCCATCAACCAGATTCATGGGATGACCCTGGGTTCAAGTGTCATGGGATAGGAAGGTTCATGTCTTCCTCGTCTTTCCCCACACCATGCATTATTTTAAGGACTTCTTACAATGCCTCCCCTTACTTGCCTTTTCTGTGCTGAAGAGTCCCAATTGTAGCTGCTTCTCACAGGAGAGCTGCTCCAGCCCACTGAGCATCTTTGTCGCCCTTCTCTGCACCTCTTGCAACTCAACAATGTCCTTTTTCAGGTAGAGCAACCAGAACTGAACACAATATTCCAAATGTGGCCATACTGAGAATTTGTATAAGGGAAGTGAGATTGTGACAGTTCTATTTTCTACCCCATTCCTAATGATGCCTAGCATCGAGCTTGTCTTCTTCACAGCAGTCTCACTGTGAGCCAACATGTTCATTGAGCTATCCACCAAAGATCCCTTGCTTGCTCAGTCACTACTAGTTCAGATCCCATTAGTGCATTCTTGAAGTTGAGATTTTTTTGCCCCAGTATGCATTACTCTACGCTTGCTTATATTGAAGTACGTTCGCCCTTCTGATGGCCATTCTCTCATTTTAGACAGATCCCTTTTGAGCTCCTCACAAGCCCTTTTGGATTTAACCACCCTTAAAAGTTTAGTGTCATCAGCAAATGTGGCCACATCACTAGATAGTCTTAATTCCAGATCATTTATGAATAGGTTGAAGGCAGAATAGGACCTAATACAGAACCCTGTGGGATTCCACTGGTGACATCTCTCCATTTAGAGAAATTGCCATGTATTCCCATCCTCTGTCTTATGTTCTTTAACCAGTTAGTGATCCATAAGAGTATGATCCCTCCTTTGACTGTTTAATTTGCTCAGGAGCTTTTGATGAGAGTCTTTGTCAAAAGCCTTCTGGAAGTCCAAGCAAACAGTGTCTACTGGATTGCCCCTGTCCACATGCTTCTTGACACTCTCAAAGAACTCCAATAGGTTAGTAAGACAAGACTTCCCCTTACAGAAACCATGTGGATTGGAGAATGGCCAATGTAATGCCAATCATTTGGTACAAGAGCGAATTCTAGGGACATGCTAAATATTTTGGCAAGTTCAGCAATTTCATGCTTGAGCTTTTTGTTAACTTTAGGATGGATACCAACTGGACCAGCTGACTTTCAGTTCATCAGTAAAGTTGAGAATTTCATCTTTTGTCACTAATATCTGCCTTAATTCCATGAATTGCTTCCAATTCAAAGTACTGGCCTTAACCTATAAAGTCCCGCATGACTTGTGAATGGAGCTTTTTTGTGGTAGACCCACATCTGTGAAACACTGCCTCTAAATAAGCTCACCTGAAGACAAAACTGTCATCTTTTCAGCATCAGACAAAAGACATATTTATTATTCCAGACATTCTGACATTTATCATGGCTTTCCTTTTCGTCTTCTGCCTGAATCCTTGCCTAGCGTAATAGTCTTCTCCAGGGAGTTTTGCCTTCTCATGATGTGCTCAAAGTATGATAGTCTCAGTTTTGCCATTTTGCTTCTAGGGAAGTTCTGGGTTGATCTGACCTAGGGCTCACTTGTTTGTCTTTTTGACAGTCCAGGGTATTCTCAAAGTGCACCTCTAGCACCATGTTTCAGATGCATCGATTTTCTTCTTGTTGGCTTCTTCACTGTGCAGCTTTCATAGTGATATGCATGTTTAGACAGAAAAAAGCCTTGCAATTCCCAGCATGCCCTAGCCAAGAAGCCTGGATGGGGCATGCTGGATGTTCTGCCTAAATAGTCATGGTATCTTTGCTGAGCGTTAGCCAGGCCATTAAAAACTTCTGTTTGGGTTTACTCGGCTTTAAGATGAATTTTCTCCGCTCTCTCTTGTATGTTTCAAAGTTGGTACTATATAATTCTTGATTTGTTTGTTTTTTGACATGAGTTTCTAAGTTATCTTGGTGGGGGAGAGGATCCTTTTGGGCAAAGGGCAATTCTTGAACACTTTAATAAATGAAAAAAGTAAGCCCTGTTAAAAGTCCAGATTTCCTACAAAAGGTCTACTTGCAGTGAATATTGTCATCTCGGCCTCTCTCTCCATCCTCTCGTATAGGCTAATGACTCCTGCAAGTGTAATGGCTGGAAGAACCCAAATCCCCCCACAGCACCTCGCATGGATCTGCAGCAGACAGTCACCAACCTCAGCGAGCCCTGCCGCAGTTGTGGGCACACTCTAGGTAATGTGTGAAACTCCAGGGGAGGCACTTAGGTGCGGGGAGGGGTGGGGGCTTTTCCTCCAGCTTGCCCCCAGCAAAAGCCATGCCTGCTTTCCAGAGGTTAGAAAGGGCGAGAGCAGAAATTGATAAGTGTACAGTTATTTTTCCTCTCTGTCCATTTCTCATTTTTCATGCATTCATTTCTTTAAAGTACTTTCATTCTGCTCCACAGCCAAAAAGGCTCCTGGAGGAGAGTACATGAGCTCAGTAAAACAAGACAGTTCCAGCCTGCAGGTTTGCAATCTGAAATGGTTGTTGCCATTTAAATTTCCTGTCATGTCCTACTGTGGTGCTACTTCAGGCTTACCGGGAAATTAAAATTTTGGGGATCCAGCGCTGCGTGCTGGGAGACAAAATATGGTGAAAAGGAGAGCTATGACAGGCTGCAACAGCTTTGAGCCCTATTAGGGCACTAGGACTGAGTTGAGGATGTTGCTGGTCCTGCTTGTTACAACCATTATGGTCTAAGCACTTGTGCTCCCACTTTCTTTTCCTTTCCCCCCATTTTTCTAAAAGAAAGATAAATTCCATGGAGTTCTTTAGATACCAGATTCAATACCAGATTTACCTGGTGGCGATTTTTCTTTATTAAGTAATATCCCAGCCTTCATCCAACTTCAGTAGGGAGGAAACATGCTGACTATGCAACCACAGGAACATCTTCAGACCGTGCTGGCTCATGGCTTTTGGAATGGAGATGAGCACTGCCCCCTATAGCTGTTTTGGCTAGCAGAGTAAAATCCACAGGGACTCCACTCCCGTTCCCCTCCCCCTCCCCCTCCCCTTCCAGCAAACCCAGCCCATTGTGCATGCCCCCCATTTTACCCTCACAACATCCCTATGAGGTAGGGTAAACTAAGTGTGATAGGCGCAAAGCTACCTGATGAGTTTTGAAGCATAGCCGGGGTGTGGGCTGAATCCTCCTGTCTCCAGTTCTGTTTCACTCTATCCATTACACTGTAAAGCAGAGCTCTGCAGCCTTTCAGGTGTTTGGGCCTATAACTTCCATTGGCCCTAGCCAGCATCATGGGAGTGACAGGCCAACGGGCCACAAAAGGTTCACCCCTGCTGTAAAGGTTTGTGTACACAGCAAATTTGTGTAACACAGCCTGCCCCCCCCCCCCGCCCCATGAACAGGGAGTGTTTATATGTATGGAGAGAAATGAGGCTCAGTTTTTTACTGTCTTGGTCTTTAGCTTAAAGTAGGGTGAATTTGATTTAAATCACTAATTGGTAAGACTAGATTTAAATCATGGTTTTCGGCATAATTTGCATGCATGCCTGCTTTACCCATAGGTGGAGGAACTTCATTAAAATATTCCTAAACTGGGTCTATTTTATGGCTTGCTACCATTATAGGTTTTCTCCTCCAGGAAAGAATAATGTTATAAACCTCAGGCTATACACAAAAAGATCCAAAAGATTTGTGGAGTATTCTGCTCAAAAGGTCTCACTTTCATTTTTACTGCTTGTCCCTCCCTCACACTTAGCTTCTTAAGCAGATCTATTCCACTCCCAACAATCTTCTTCTGTTCATTGAATTTTTTGAAACTTAGTACTTAAGAAGGAAGGGCTTGATTCTGTGTACATAAATTTGCAAAGGAACTATCAGATTAAGATATTTTGCTTAACTCTGTATGTAAAATAAACATAAACAGTTTTGCTGTAAAGAAGAGACAGACACAAATTCACAGTTTTGAGAACTGCAAAACCAAGTGTCTGTGGTAGTATCTACTAGGTAGAAAAACTGTCCAGTAATCTTACTGAAACCTCGGAAGAGCATGCCATTGTGAATGGATTAATGGAATTCATTTACCTATAAATGTAAACATTGCATGAATATTTACATAATTACACTTATTTACACAGTCATGCTACATAATTAAAAACTAATCCTTATTTCAAGATGAATAACCTCTGGACTGTAATGTATCTTAAAAAACTAGATATCTTTAGATTTTTCCTTTAAAAGCATTTTATTTTTTAAAAATCCAATTTACATTTTTAAAATCCTATCCATCCATCCATCCATCCACCATTGATTTTTATCCACCCTGACTTAAAGGGACTCAATCTGAAGCCTGACACAACTTCTCTCACTTTCCCCTAGCTGATCATGTGTCTCACCTGGAGAATGTTTCTGAGGAGGAGATCAATCGACTGTTGGGGATGGTGGTGGATGTAGAGAACCTCTTCATGTCTGTGCACAAAGAAGAGGACACGGACACCAAGCAGGTTTATTTCTACCTATTCAAGGTGCGTCCACATGGTGGGGAGGGAATATTGCGATATGTCTCCAGTGGTTTTGCAGCAGTGTCCCACATGAGCAAGAGGAGATGCTCAGGCCAGCAGTTCTCACCAGCAGCATGATTAATAACCGCTGGTGGATTTTGCTGGACTGTTGCATCCCAGTCTGATAACTTAACTTTAATCATGGAGAAAGCAAGAAGACAGCAGCTTCTAGAGAATGGCCAGTGCGAAGCTTTGTCCCAATGCCATTTCTGTCTCCGGCAGTGAAGAAAATGTAAAACAAGGGAAGAAGAGTTTGTGACACACTCACTTGGCAACTTAGTTTTTGATCCTTTACACAAGGAGCGATTCTGGATGATGTGGTGTAAGTCAGTAAGGACAAGTTGCACAGCCCGGGTGGAAGCCATTCTGAATTGATCATTTGCATCCTGGTTTCAAAAGCTTTTTGACAGTCTCAGATAGCCCTGGTCCAGTATTTTTCACTGAAGGCCCACAGGCCACTGACAGTTCCTCAAAACCCCACTATTCCATGCTGCACCTGTGATTTTTCCCCCTTCTAACATGTTTTAGGCCTGGTTTTGTCATGGAAACGGCCTTGGTCACCCTGTATGATGACCTGTGGCTGGAGAGAGACAGGGGGAGTGTGATCCTGTTGATACTGCTGGACCTCTCAGTGACTTTCAATACCATTGACCATGATATCCTTCTGAGACACTGTCTGAGCTGGAAGTGGGGGACCAGTGCACCACAGTGGTTCTGCTCCTACTTGGAGGGTCTTCTCTAGAAGGTGGTGTTTGGGAAATATTGTTCAGGCCTGTGGAGTCTTCACTCTGGAGTTTCTCAGGGGTCTGTTTGTCCCAAGTGCTATTTAGCATCTACATGAAACCTCTGCATGGGATCATCTGGAGTTTTGGAGCAGGCTGCCATCAGTATGCTGATGACACACAGCTCTATTTCTCCTTTTCATTGTCAGCAGGTGAGGCTGTGGATGTGCTAAACTGGAGTCTGGCTGCAACAGTGGACTGGACGAGGGCTAACAAACTGAAACTCAATCCAGACAAGACTGAGGTGCTGTTGGTAGGTGGTTATTCTGACCGGATGGAGGGAATCCAACCTGTTCTAGACGGGGTTGCACTCCCCCTGAAGGAGCAGGTTCGTAGCTTGGGGGCGCTCCTTGATACATCCTTGTCACTTGAGACTCAGGTGACCTTGGTGACTCAGAGTGCCTTCTACCAGCTTTGGCTGGTGGCCCAGCTACTCCCCTATCTGGATTGGGATAGCCTGGCCTCAGTAATCTGCTCTGGTAAGACTGGTTCTGGCCTGCTTGCATCGGTGGTCTGTATGCTTCCAGTCCCAATTCAAAGTGCTAGCTTTGACTTCTAAAGCCTTACATGGCTTTGGGTCACAATACTTGGAGTGCCTCTCCCATCCACAGTCTTCTTGAACACTACAGTAGCTCAACCTCTGGGGCCTTCTCCTGAGTGCCAACTCCAAGGGAAGTGCAGAGGGTGGCAACAAAGAGGAGGGCTTTCTCTGTGGTGACTCCTCACTTACTGAACAGCCTTGTCACTGTGGCTCAACTGGTGCCAAATTTCTCATTTTTTTCAGTGCCAGGTCAAAACTGCCCTTTATACTATGACTTTTAAAGACTTAATACTCAGGGGCTTGAGGGGATTGCCCATCCCAGGTGTTCTACCAAGTCTTTGCTATTGTTTGGTTTCAACTGTTTTAAACTTTTAATGTACAGTATTTCTGATTTCATCTATTTTTATTGTATTTTATTACCTGTTTTATGGACTCTTGTAAACCATACAGAGAACTTCAGCTGTGGGGCAGTATAGAAATGAAGCTAATGATAATAGCGTTTTACAAGGTGGCCAAGAGGGATTCCCTTTATTTTCTTCCCCTACTCAGGCAAGGAGGTGACTGTTGCTTCTTCCTTCGCTAAGCAGTGGAGTATGTTTGCAAGGGCAGGGCGGGCTGTTGTCAGTCAGTGCCCCTGCACTTTCAAACATTCTACCCAGACAGGGAGGTAGGTAGTTGGTGCTGCTTCAGGAAAGCCTGTTGCAAGCAACAGTTTCAGTGCTGCAAGTGGGAACAGAACTTTTCTCAAGCTTTAAGAGCTTTAGAGAAGTCCCTGCTCGTAGCGGTGCTTGATTGTCACAGCACAGCCTTCCAAATGACACTGATGGCTTGGCTGGAGGCAAGGCAAGGGGAAGAGAAATAACTCTAGTGGGGGCGGGGGGGCTGTGGAAAGAACTATATAAATGGGAGGTGGAGGAAGGGGAAAGGAGGACAGCTCAGGGAGCCAGAGTGGGTGGATGGAGAAAAAATTTCCTCAGGAGCAAGAAAGAAGAACCACGGGGTTAGGAAACAGAAAGAGAGATGAGAGGTGCTCATTCTTTCTGGAGCTGAGCATAATGTAAAGGTAAATACAGTCATGCTACTTGACTCTGGTTCAGTCCAGGGTGGTTTGAAAATGGTTCTTTCCCCATCCTACTTGTTCACTCACAAAACTTTCTTCCAGTTTCTCATTAGATGGTAGATATTGCTAGTATTTCCTCTCCTTCCTTTCCCTCATCACAGACCAGCAGCTTCCTCTTTTTTAATCCCCCCTCTAGTCATGAAACTCTTGCTTCTGTCCTTGCAACTAGAAATTGCTGAAAGTCTGTTTGTCGAGTCAGGAGGAAGTATATCAACAGTGCAATTCTACCACATTTCATAGGCTTTACTCACAGGAAAAGGCGCATACAATATGCATTGGATTGGTACCTAAAATCAGTCATGCCTAACCTAGTACACTGCAGATGTTGTGAACTGCAACACCCAGCATTCCTGACCATTGGCCATATCTGCAGGGGGATGATAGGAGCTGAAGTCCAAAGCATTACAGTCAGCTTGCCATTCAGTTATTCTGGGTTAATTGTAGTAGTAAGTAAAATGTCATTTTCAGATATTTATTTTTTGGCCAAAGTGACTCCAGCTTGATGGATAATGAAGATCACTGACTTGTTTGAACAAGCACAAGAAAATAACAGTGATTTTGGGATTGGACTTACATTTTTCTCTCTGCAGCTTCTAAGGAAATGCATCCTGCAGATGAGCCGCCCAGTTGTTGAGGGCTCCCTCGGCAGCCCCCCTTTTGAAAAGCCAAACATTGAACAGGTAAGGCACTATGTTTTTCTTTGTTTAGAAAATCTGTGGGTCACCTCTCTCAGTAAGAACACAAGGCGATGTACAAACAAAAGCAATAAAAATAACAGAATGGGTAAACCACAGAAGGGCTGTCCAGAATGTTGTTTAATATAATCAAGGAATAATAGTAAAATCAAAGAACGGCGTTAACTGTTAAATGCCCAGCAGAGTCATGTTCTCTTCGCCAGCTGCATGAGGAACAAAAAGGAGGTAAGCTTTTACAGGCATAAAATGCTGGGGTGTACCGAAGGTCTGGTGACCAGTGGCTTGATAGATGTGAGATGTGAGGGAGAAGATCCCTAGCTTTGCATTGTCATTGACACCCCCCATATACACAAACACACACACAAAGCACTATACACAGCACTAGTAGAGACGGTGAGAGCAGGATGTCTGCATGGAGAGACTTGATGACTAACAGTGCAATTCCATCCATGTTTAGACAAAGAAAAGTCCTGCAACTCCTAACATCTCAGTGGACTTTTTGCTCTCTCATATGCATAACATTGCACCCTGACTTTATTCTAGAACTCCTCTTTATGCATCTGTGTTTGTGTCCTTCACCTGTTCTATCGTTAGACAAATAAGGTAGTCTTGCCTTCCATTTTCATTTTTACGGTTAAGACCAGAAGGCATGGAGATGAAACAGGAAACAGAGAAAGGAAAAGGATGGTGACGGGGAGAGAAAAAGTGATGGTCAGGAGCGTTCCCAAGGCAGTATGAATTGGTGCAGAAAATGGGTGAGGGAAGGGAGGGTAGTTTAGAATGAAGAAAGATGCTCTGTTCTTTCTTATTAACATGTTATAGCAGTCTTCTCTAACATGGTCCCTTTCATGTGTTGGACCATGACCCACATCAGCCCCAGAGAAGGGGATAATGGGGATAATGGGACTTATAGTCCATGTCAGGAGGCTGCCAGGTTGGGGAAGGCTATACTGCAGGCATAACAGGAGAGAAGGAAACATCTGTGTATTCAGTTCTTCAGTAAATTCTCCACTGGCACCTGACCTTGCCTCTTCCTTTGTTTGAAGCTTTATCGCTCTGAACCCCTCTACAAGTAACCTCAGGAGCTCAAAGGCCAAAAGAGATGATGGAATGAACAGAATGAGTCAAAATGGAAGGAACGTGAGAGCAGGTCCTTCTGGGGAAAGAGGCCTGGACCTGCTGCTGTTCTCTTTCTGGCCCCTGCTGCATTACTTCAAGGTTCCTGAGCGCTTTTATTCTCAGGCAGGCAGGCAGACGTGGATACGTCCTCCCTTGAGGAGTTTGTGAGCAGGGAACGGCAAGCTTTGGTTCACCTGATATGAGTTGTCTGAAAACTGAAAGCACACATTTTACTTTGGAATAAGCTGCTTGTAGGAAAGTGAGATTGATAAGGGGAGGAAGACAAAACAACAGAGTGGCTTAAATTCCAGCACACATGTTCAGCAGTCTTGCATTAACAAGGTTACAGAAGATGTTATTTCCAGTGGTGCCAGGAGCCACAGGGTATTTCTGGTTGTCACATATCACAACAACAACAACTTATGGGTAGTGTTACATGTTACCCAACTCATGCTCTGTGTGCATGTGATCTCAAATTGTTGGCAGTGACCTGTTGGCAGTGATCTAAAGTTGGCATTATTTTATTATTAGCAATAACAGTAATAGTAATTATTGTGTTTTATTATAATAAATAATAGCTGAGATTCATATATGGCAACTGAATTTGTTGAAGCTGTGGAGAAGCGCAAGGCAAATGATTCTTGGCTTGTCCTGATGTTAAAAGCCACTTGTGTTCCCCTTTCGCACTGCCAGGGAGTCTTAAACTTTGTACAGTACAAGTTCAGCCACCTGCCCCCCAAGGAGCGGCAGACCATGTTTGAGCTCTCCAAGATGTTCCTTCTGTGCCTAAATTACTGGAAGCTGGAAACGCCATCCCAGTTCCGCCAACGCTCACAAAACGATGATGTGGCAACATACAAGGTCAACTATACCCGGTGAGCCGTCCCTGGTAGGAAGTGGGATCGGAGAGCAGAGGAGGGAGGAAGTGGAGCTGAACAGATCCCTGCCCAGTATCTTGTGTGCAACTGAAATCTCCACCCCTCTGAGCATGTGCAGACTTTGTTTCCCTCTCTCCCAAGTAGCCATTCCTACCTCAAATCTCAGTAATTCTCAGCCTGTGGAGCAACCTCCCCAAAGTGGTGCATAGTTGCAAGAAGTGAGATGATTCTGCTGCAGACAGAGGAACTTCCCAGGCAACAGAAGTACACTAGCTGCTCAGCCTTCTGGGCTAGCTAGCAAAACTAGAGGAATGGGAACATGTTTTCTCCCTTTCCAGTAGGTTTTAACAGGATTGGCCTGTTTGACTCCTCACCTAATGCCTGGTGAGGAGTCCCTTTACAATAGAGCATGACGGGTTCCAGACAGGCAGCTGTACATTGGAGCTTTTCCTTATCTACATAGGGGCATGTTCCCCTGGGTGGGTTATAGGTGCTTGCAAAGTCTGAGTTCTAAAAGATAGTTAAAAACGTTTTCCAAAGTGCGATGGAGGCTCCCCTCCATCTAGTATTATCTCATCATCCAGTTCTGCTGCTGCGATGAAAATGACATCCACTTACTTGTTAAACCATTCTTATATGTAAGGTAGCTGTTTGTAGGCATCAGACAAAGGAAAATCAGAGTTTTCATATTTTAAAGCAAAGGTATGTCTTCTTTTGTTGAGAAAAAATAGAGAAGGTAAATAAAATCTTACCTTTACCATTTCCTCAAAAGGCTTTTAACAATAGGAATCTAGAGAGTTGCCTTGCACTGGGTCAGACCATGGGGCCGTCTCACTCAGGATTGTCAACATGAGCTGGCGGAAGTTCTTCCTGATTTCAGGCAGCATTCTTTCCTAGCCTCACCTAAGGATGCGAGGCACTGAGTCTCGGGCCTTCTGCATGTCGAGTGTGCTGGTGTGGTGCTTAGAGTGTGGGACGGAGACTCAAGAGATCTGGGTTCTTGTCCCCTCTCATCCATGAAACTTACTGGGTGGCTTTGGGCCAACCTGAGATCCTCAGCCTAATTCACCTCACAGGTAGTTGTGAGGATAACGTGGAGCAGGAAAGGAGGACTATGCACGGTGCTTTGGATTCTCTGCACGAAGAAAAAAAGGTGGGATATCAAAGTAATGTAGTGATAATAAGAGAAATAAGAGTTCTAGCACTGAGCAATAGCTCCTTCCCACCAGAATAGGGTAACAGGATGTTGCGGTTACCACTGGAAGCTGGCTATGAAAGCATGTTGGTTGGTTGGTTGGTTTACTATATTACTTGACCACCTTTAAGGGCAGAAGTCTTCCCATGGCAGCACAGAGCAGCAAAACACCTAAAACCGATGTGATATGAAAATTTACTTAAAAAGCAGGAAAGCCCAACAGGAAGACAAACAAAAAAAAAAGCCCAACAAAAAAGCCACAACATCAGCAATTGTATTAGGCAAAAGCCAAGTAAAGTGTTTGCAAGGCCTTAAAGGCGCATTTGCTTTTGTGGCCACTTCCTTTATTATGCTTTACTGCATTAGCTCACGGGCCTGGCATTGAGGAATTTATAAAATGCCTGCATCAGGATAGGATTTGAAACTGAAACCTTGAAGGCTGTTCACTGGTTCTCCCCTGAAGCCTTCAGATTGGTGTTCAGTGTTTTTCTTTCTTAAACGAGCTCAATTTCTTGACAGATTTGTTTGTAGTCCAAAGAACATAAGAAAAACTCTCTGGAAGCTGATCCAAGGCCTCTCCAGTCCTTGCTTGCCTCGCTCTCAAGCAAGACATGAGTCCAGTAGTATTGATTGTGCTGTTTTGTTAGCTGCTTCAGGATTTGCACATATGTGAAGCAATGTAGAAATGCTGATGGGAATATTAAAATTGATGATGTTGATGAAGGTAATATATACCCATCCTGACTAATAGTAGCCATTGGTAGCCTCATTCCGTCTCCTTCCCTTCCTTCTCCTGCTCCTCCTTCCAAATATATCTTGTCTTTTCTCCAAGGAACTCAAGGCACAGTACACAGTCCTTATCTGGTTTATTTTATCCTCACAACAACCCTGTGAGGTAGGATAGGTTAAGAGCCAGTGACTGTCCCAAAGTCACCCAATGAGCCTCATGACTGAGTGGGGACTAGAACCTGGGTCTCCCAATTTGCAGTCCAACACTGTAACCACTACGCCACACTGTTTCTCTCCAATCTTATGCCCCATGAATTTCTCTGACCCCTTTTAAAGCCTTCTGCGTTGCCATCCATCACTCCAATCTTACGGAAATGAATTCTCACCCCCAGTCCTTACCGCCTGTCTCACTTGCATGCCCTCCCATGCCAGGTGGCTGTGTTACTGCCATGTGCCCCAGAGCTGCGACAGCCTCCCACGATATGAAACCACGCAGGTATTTGGGCGCAACCTCCTCAAGTCCACTTTTACGGTTACTCGCCGGCAGCTGCTAGAGAAGTTCCGGGTGGAGAAGGACAAGCTGGTGCCTGAGAAGCGGACCCTCATTCTCACCCACTTCCCCAAGTAAGGCCCATTTCATGAAGCACTGAGCAGCTGGGTAAGGCTGCGGAGGGAGCACAAGCACAAGTGCTTCACAGTGAAGTAGTGAACTTATGCTGGACCTCTTCAGGCTGCTGGGCGGTGGGGCTGAGAGAACCGACCTGTTACAGGAACAGATTGCATGCTTCATGGGTCCACTTTGGTTTTTTCCCCCTACCATATCAAGGTCCACCAGCCAGAGCCTAATGCAAATGGTGGGGTGGGAGGGAAGGGGGGCTTCTGTACTATTAGAATTAAGGACCAAGGTGCCTGTGACCTCAGGTAAAGCCCAAGGGTTTGTTTACCAGGTATCTTCCTGTTTTCTTCATTAGAGCAATCTAATGAGGAGGTGAGCCTTTTAGTTGTTAAACCATTGGAAGTCAGTGTTGCTGATTTACTGCCAAGTATCCTGAGATGTACCAGTAGACCTTAACCTTCTGCCTCACATGCTAATTTGCAGCGTAGAGGATGTAATTATTTTAATGGACGATTGTTCAGGCATGATAACACCATACATCTGGTGGGACAGCCAGATACAGAGCCATCTCCTCTGGAAGCCTAAAACTGGCCATTCTCTTTTGGTCCTTCTCATGGTGAGGAAACTCTGGAGTCCTGCTCAGCAAAGATTCCCAAAGAAATTAGGATTAGTTTGACTGGAGTGAAAACTAAGCATTTTCTTTATTGTTCCTGATGGCCTAGCAGAGGCTTTGCTGAAGGCATTCTGGGAGCCAGGAAATAGCCAGCAAGATTTGGAGCCAGTGTGCAGAAGAGGAAAAGATGGGGAGTGGTAGAAATAGTCCTCATGAGTTCCTTGCTATGATGCAGCTGTGAGAGATTTGGATTTTGAGACCATGGGCTGAACTTCTGGAAGATGGACTGCTGGCAAGAGATGGCTTGCACCGTGCAAAGAAAGGAAAGGATGTACTTGGCCACAGTATGAAGAAGTTTATCAGGAGGTCTTTAAACTGATTTCTACTGGGGAGGAAGGCATCCATCTGAGCACAACATCAACTGACAAAGGATTATGTACTGCATCAATGAAAGACACTAGTTGGGCGTAACACTAGTCTTCCAAAAAATATAGGAAAAAAGCTAGGGAATACTTCATGTGGCCTTAGATGTCTACACACCAGTGCCCAAAGTATGGAAAACAAACAACATGAACTTGAATCTTAGTACATGAGGGCAAAAATGACATTATAGGCCTAACTAAAACTTGGTGGAATGACTTCCATGGATGGAATTTAAAACTTGCGGGATATAACCTGTTCAAGAAGAACAGAAGGAACAGTAAGGGAGGTGGAGTCACACTGTATGTTAAAGATACATATCTCTTCACAGAAATACACATATGAGCTTTGTAACCCCATCAAGAGCAACTGGATTAATATAAATGGAAAAGGAATAAAAGGAGCTTAGTAGTTGGATTCTGTTACGGTCCATCCAGTCAAGGAGAGGATAAGGATGAAAGTTTTGAAAAACAAATTACCAGTGTTTCAATGAGGCATGATGTGATCATTATGGGGGACTTTAATTTCCCTGATACCTGTTAGGAGTCAAACTGTGCCAAAACATAGCCCCTCAACAGAAACTAAAAGTAGGAATGAGTGGTACAGCTTTACTTGACCTGATCCTAAGCAACATAGTGGCCAAAATAACAGCCGTGGGAACTTGGCAGGAATATTTTAAAATTATTGTTATTTGGGAGGCTGGCTTGCTGCAAAGTACAGGGTTGCCCTCTAGTACCTTCTGTATTTGGATTTTAAAGAGGGGTTTTCCATTTTGGAGCCTAGAATCCCCTTTAGGTTCATACTTCAGTTCTTGAAGAAGCTACTTTCATACGGCCTCACCAGTTTGCCCTTTGGGATGTGAGTGTTTGGTGACTCGCCATGCCCATCCTGGTACCCATTTTCTGAAAGCGCCCATGACGCTCTTTGAAAATTTCAGATGTTCTCACCTGCCCAAAAACTCATTCCTGGTGTATTCACTGTCTTTCCCTCCACCCACCTTCCACCATTGCATCTATTTTGTATCTGGTGTTTAGGTTTCTAATAAAAGCAACACTAATTAGATCTAGCAAGGCTTGACATGCAAGTATGTACATGGATGACCCCAAAACTAGCATCACATGTAGTTTTGGGGGATGAAAAAATGTGTCCCTGTTGTAGAGTGGGAAGGAACTGTATGGGGGTGAGGGTGTTTCTATCGCTTCAAAATGCTTGGTCCATTTTCTCATTTTTCTGCACAATAGCTGCAGGAAATTGGGCATTGATGTCTCCCTTTTTAAAATGCGAGAATGAAGGCTGGAGTGACTTGCCAAAAGCCACCAGGTTGGGCTTTCCAGACTGAAATTTGAATGCAGGGCTTATGCTTAGTGCTGAGCCCATTGGGTTGACTGGACTTATGGGACTGGAGCCTTCACTCCCTTCCCCACATGTCTTGCTGATCCCGCTCCACTTCTCCCTGCCAGGTTTCTGTCTATGTTGGAGGAAGAAATCTATGGAGAGAGTTCTCCAATCTGGGAGGCTGATTTTACGATGCCGGTAACAGAAGGCCCTCCACTTGTCCCCCGTCCAGGTAGGTCTTTTCCCTTGGACCCCATTTGGCAGCTCTGCACATGTGTTGTGTGAGTGTAGAGCCCTGGAGTGTCTCTTCCTGTTCAGAATCAGGCAGCTGCTCCATCTAACCACTTTCTGCCTGTTCTGAATGGCGGAGGAACTGCAGGGTCTCAGACAGAGATCTCTCTTAGCCTTGCACTGACAGTGCTGCTGAATGAGCTTTGACTTTCTGCATGTGGAATAAAGGGGGAGGCTCTCTCACTGAGCTGCAGCCTTTCCTCATGCCACTTAACAGCCTGTGGGCTGGAACAAGCCTCCCATCTGTGGCAACAGAGCAGCTCATCCCAGGCCAGGACCCTGCAGGTACAGCTGGGTGGTTGTGTGAATAAGACCTGCAGTGCTGCTTGGGGGATCCAGCTCTCCTGCCTTGGAGGTGGCAGTGAGCTGGGACAGGCAAGCCCCAGGGCACATACTTTAAGACTCTCTCCATTCAAAACAACTCCAGTTTTTCCAGCCAACTTAAATATCAGGGAGGGGAGGGAAAAGTTTCCCAATTATTATCATATATAATATTATTATTATGAATAGCAGCCTTCCCTACACTTGCTTGCTCTACATGTTTTGGGCTACAGCTATGGGCTGTACTGTGGCTGATGGCATGTGTAGTCTATGTCAGGGCACAAGGCTGGGAAGAAAACTAGTATAGGACTTTGCCAGGGAAATCTGGTTTGAAATCTTCCTTCTGCCACAAAGCTTGTTGGGCAACCTTGGGTCTTTGCTGTCTTACAACTTATCTTGCAGGATTGTTCGTTCATTCATTTTATTTCTTACCGCCCCACAGCTGAAGCTCTCTGGGCAGTTTACACAGTCCATAAAAACAGATGATGATAATAATGCAATAAAATATTGTAAAATCAGAAAATACTAAGTATGAAGAATATTAAATATTGTTGTGCACACTGAAATAGGAGAACCCTAAGTGTTTCATCTATTTGTTACGTTTCTATACTGCCTGATAGCTGAAATTCTCTGAGAAGTTCACAGCAGTTAAAACCCTAAGAGGCAACATGCTGAAATATAATGTAAACATTTAAAAACACAGCTTAAAATAAAAATAAAGACTAATCCTGTAGCCCCGAGTTCCTTGAAGGAAAGCATTGTGCCAGTTTCTCATGCTGCAGAGGTCGAGGTCCATTGATTCCACCTGCATTCTCTATCGCAGATGCTTTACATTTTAAATGGGATTCATGTTGTTATCACTTGTTTTCCCCGCCCAGCGATCAGCACTGTTCCTGCAGCCAGCACTCCGCTCTTCAGCAAATCTCTGAGCCGCAGCTCCTCTTTGGCGTCAATTAACCTGGATGGCAGCTCCTTGGATTCTGTGCCAGGTATACGCACAGCAGGGGAATATCAGAAGGAAAACCCCATCATGTGCAGCAGAGGACTTAATAGGAAGCCCTGTCTGGGAGTTGTCTGTTTTTCCATTTAAAATCAATACTTTGATGGTCCAGACTTGTAAAGATTTTGTGCTTATTGCAGTGTAAGTATTTGGATGGCCCCTGCAAAGCAAGCTTCCTTAGCATGGATCCCTCCATATGCTTTGGCCTAAAACTCCCATAATTTCTGATGCAATTTGGAGCTGATGGGAGTCGTGGGCTGAATCATCTGGAGGGGACTTTGGTTGGGGAAAGGTGGCAGAAAGATTGTCATGGGGCATAGTTCTCCCAAGATTCTTTTCAAGCTTTATTATTGTACATCTCTGAGAGCACCCAGAGTGAAGTGTTGAGCCCTCTATAACATCCCTTAGTCCCTAAACTCTTTATAGCCCTTTCATCTGTGCATCCCAGCAGGCAGGGCACTGTGAAACCTAGCCGTCCTCCTTTCTGTTTCTCTCTTACCTGGACTTCCTTCCTATGCTGTCTCTTAGAATAAAGGAGGGACCTGTATGTCAGGAAGGCTGCTTAATTCCTGCTGTGAGACCTGCCCAGTCCCCAACTCCACCTCCTGTTTTGGTGTCAGCTGTACCCGCTGTTGTACTATCTCCCATTCCCACAGGCCAGTTAGCCCTCACTCTCATCAGTCCAGACTAGCAAGTCCTCCTGCTTTTCCCCAGACATTCCCTGAATTGATGAGATACCTGAATTTACTGAGATTCCACAAGCATTTCACTGTCTGAGCTTGAATTCCCATCAAATCTATAGCCTGCTTGTATGTGTTCTGGCACCTTGCCCCTGTGACCACACACCGCAGATGCTGTTACCCTGACAGGGAATTAGGCAATACTTAACCACGTCATAAGTATTTCCCTGAATCTAAAGCAGAACGCCATCTGCTGTGCAACAGCAAAATCCTGAATTAGGTGAAATGCTTCCTATATGCTAAGAAGCAATGATTTCTGGGAGTCAGGTCACTTGCTTTCACCTAGTTTTGGTCCCACACAGTTAAGCGGCCTTCAGCCTGATTCTTCACACACAGGTGAGAAGAGGAAGCTTCCGGAGAGTTTGACTCTTGAGGATGCCAAAAGGATCCGTGTCTTGGGTGACATCCCGATGGAGCTCGTCAATGAAGTGATGTTGACCATCACAGATCCAGCAGCCATGCTGGGGCCTGAGGTAGGGTAGTCCTACTTGGTGACACTTGGCGTGCCTTAGTTACATCATACTCAGGCTGCTGCAATGTGCTCCAAAGAGCGCATTCCTCAAGGAGTTTCAGTGCCAGCCAGTGCACGTTATCAGGACCGGATGACTCCTGTTCTGATTGGCTGTTGTTTTCCAGGTGCACTTCAAGGTGTTGCTCTTAAAAGACCTAAGCAGTTGAAGACTTGGGTATCAAAGAGACTGCTTGTCTCATCATAAACCTCCCTGAGTTTTAAGAACTGCGGCAGAGAGCCCATATCCACAGAAACTTGTTCGCCAGGAATATAGGAAAGGGCTTTCTCCCGCATTGCTCCCAACTAAGAAAACCTAGTTAAAATTAATCCCCACACTCTCGGTCCTTTAGAAAGAGTGCAAATGCTCATCTTTTAAAATGAGCATTTGAAAGTATGGAGTCATTTTAGGGTGTAATTTTATGCAAGTTTTTTTAACGTCCTGCAAGTCCCCAGCCAGTGATGTCCTTATATTACAGTCTTATTGTTTTGAATTGTTGTTCACTGTCTGGATGGCTTTCTAACCAATAAAACAGTGCAAATAAATGAACATGTGGCTTATCATGATCCTTAGCTATAGTCTGACCACCACAGAACAGAGCAGGTCAATCCGTGCATGGTGACAGTATGTGCTGCCAAATTTACTTGCCTGTGATGCTTGGCTTTGGCCTCAAGGGAGCATGAGAATCCCACCTCCTTCTGTTTGGCCGAGCCTCCAAGGGGGAGTGGGAAGGCCTTTTCCAAAGGACAGGCTGTCTCTGCTGTAGCAGCCTGCTTCCTCTCCTGTCCCTGCTTTATCGTTGACCATGACAATGACTGTCTTTCCAAAATATTTTCTAATCAGGCATCCCTTTTAGAATCCCTCCCTCGTATTCTGCATGATCTTTTCCAGTCCATGTGTCAGAAGACGAATGCATGTCCTTTTTAAACAAGCACAACTATGAATTCCTTACTTTAAAAGCATCTGATTTAAGACTGTTTTAGTTGTTAGCAAATCTAAGGCTGAAAATTAAACTCTTTTTCTGTGTTGGCAAAATTTATAGTGACAGAATTTGAACATGGGATTCTGGGAATTATTTCAAGAAAATTAAAAATGCATGTTGGAAACAAAGTCCAGCTCCTGCCCTACAAAAGTATCTTGCATCTACATGCCACACCAACTCATGCATTTTTAAAACATGATTATTGCCTTTACTTATTACATTTGTATCCTGCCTTTTTCCCTTTCGCGAAGAACTGAAGGTGGCTTACACAGTCCTCTTCCTCTGCCCTGTGAGACTGAGAGTCAGTGGATTGCCCAAAGGTTCTCAGCGAGCTTCATGTCTGAGTGGACCCTAGAACCCAGGTCTCCTGCGTCCCAGTCCAGCTCTCTCACCACAATGCTGTATTACACTGAATAGATTCTCACCCATGTTCTCTTTTGCCTGCAGACCAGCCTCCTCTCAGCAAATGCAGCCCGGGATGAGACAGCCCGACTAGAGGAGCGACGGGGCATTATTGAATTCCATGTCATCGGCAACTCGCTCTCGCAGAAGTCAAACAAGAAGATCCTCATGTGGCTGGTTGGGCTACAGAATGTTTTTTCACACCAGTTGCCTCGGATGCCCAAAGAGTACATCACCCGCCTGGTTTTTGACCCGTAGGTTGCCGAGGGACCCATTCTTGATCATAGTAGGTAGTAGCAGCAGTGCGAGTGCCGGCAGAGTGGTGCTGTATTAGGATCATCCATGTAATACAGAACCTTGGGCAAGTTTTAAATTAGAGCACATTTATTTGGTAAAGGCTTGTGCATAAGGATGGGAAGACTTGTGTCCTGAACAAACGAAGTAAAATCAGCAACGAAATTAGTATGTGAAGTTTTGCCTGATTAAGAGTTATGCCAAGAACATGCAGCCTCTCTTTTTACTCAGGCACTATTTGATACCTTCTGTAACTATATTCACATTTTGTTGCACTTCAGCGTTCTGTGATTGAGCCATCCCCCTCAAACGTGTCCTGAACTTCTTTCTTCTAGCATATTGCACCATATAACCAACCTCCTAGAGCTGTTTTGTCACAACACAGTTATTTTTCAGATTGGCCACAGGTGCTAGTGTGTTTGTGAATGCTGTGCATCCTCACAGCAGTTCCGTTAATGGATAGAGGTGCAATTCTATGCATGTTAAGATGGAAAAAAGTCAGTGTTGCTGTCTGAGGAATGCTGGGAGTTGTAGGACATCTCCCTCTCTAAACATGCATAGGATTGCATCCTTCCCCTTTTTCAGGGAACTCAGTTTTGTGAGAAAGGAAAGGATGTATAACAACAGCAAACACCCTACAGTTCCCAGGATTCCAGGTAGAAGCTATGATCATTAGAAAGTCCATAAAGTTGATTCCTATTCATAGTATAGTTAAGGGCAGGCACTGTATTTATTCCTCTGTTTTATGCAGTCCAGAAACAGGGAAAGATGGGGAAAAGAATATTGTGCTCAAAGTGGCCCTTTGGTTCAAACTCTTCCTTTCCTTTTTCTTGGAAGCAAACACAAGACTTTGGCACTGATCAAGGATGGCCGAGTGATTGGAGGCATCTGCTTCCGGATGTTCCCAACGCAGGGCTTCACAGAGATTGTCTTCTGTGCTGTGACGTCCAATGAGCAAGTCAAGGTAGGGATGTCTGGAGGTATTCATGGCATCTTCTGGGATGGGGTACATGTCAGGAGCAGAGCAGCAAAGAGAACCCAATTCTAAATTAATAGATGGAATTGGGCAGTCAAAATACCAAGCAGGACAAATTGCATTGGTTCCCCAGACTGTTCAAATTCAGGATCCAGGCCTTATTCCCCCACAACCCCGGCACGTTTTCTAGTCCCTCTAGTAAGGCGGGTGGCCTATGCATGGACCTGCTGTGCAGGAGCGTCAGGAATTGGCCAGTCCAGTAGTTGGCTTCTAGGTCCCTGGAGTTTCCTGAAGTCTGCAGGATAATCAAATTCTTTTGCTTCTTTTTTAAGGAGAAACAGTGGCACCAAAGACCTAAAGGAGGTGGTGCTAAGGGCTGCACATTATACTGTCTCCGGGCTATGTCGGGCATGTAAGATGACCCCCAATTTTTGCTGTGCTATTTTCAGTTTCAAGGGTCATCTTATACACTGGTATATACGGTATTTTTGAAAAACAGTGATGAAGACTAGGGTTTTTTTTTACAAGGGACTAAGACTGTAAAGAAAAGCAAAACAAAGAGATGAAATGGAAAAAGCAGTCAAATTATAAAGCAGAAAGGGAAATAGTGGGGAACAGGTCAGGGTAGATCTGTGCATTTGCTCTCAACATCTCAACACCAGCTTGGAAGTAGTCCACCTTGCTTGCTGGAGTTTGCAAAATGAACAAGTTGCTCCTTTGCATGTTACACGAGGAGCATGACAAGTAGAGGAACATGCAGCGGAAGTTCCAATGCCGTACTTACTTACTTTAGTAAGTCCCATTTAACACAGTGGGGTTTTCTTCTGAGTAGACACAGGTAGGATTACACTGTTGCCCATCTGCTTCTCAAAATAGACAAGTCAAAGACAGCTTGCAAGGACACCGTTCCTCAAGCACAATTGCCTGTTAGATCTTGGAGAGGCTTCTTAGTCCTCCAGGCAGCCTTTGAGAGAAGTGTCTCATTTGTGCCTCTTCCACCTCCACGTTAAAACAAAAGCAATTGTTGTTTATCTGATTGACTTATTAATTACCTCAGAATTTCTAGTGAACCTTATTTTAGCTCAGAATTACTTTTATATTAATATAATTTTATTTACACATGATGATAAATTCCACATTTTCCTGCATGAATCTTGAGTTTCTGAACGTTCCCCACAGCATTTTTCCTCTTCCTCTTGTCTCCTTGAAGGGCTATGGGACTCACCTGATGAATCACCTGAAAGAGTACCACATCAAACACAGCATCCTCTACTTCCTGACCTATGCTGATGAATATGCCATTGGTTACTTCAAGAAGCAGGTACCACTACAGTGTCATTAGTGTCAGTAATTGAGAATTGGCTTTGTCTAGATGTTCAGGGAGGCAGACTTAAAATCTGGAAGGGCCTGGCTGCTGTCCTAGAGTTTAGAAGAGGATCATCCTAGGGTTGCATTTGCGTGTCTCACCAAACCATGGTTTATGACCACGTGCAAAGTAGGAACATTCTGACTGACTTTTCCCATGCTCTATGTCAGACAACTTGCATTAATTCATAAACCACATATGCAAGAGACTTTCTAAAATGAGAAAAGGAAAAGGCAACTGGAGGGGTTTTTGTTTGTTTTTTGTGATTTTGGGGGGGGGGTTTGCATGCAACTGTATGAGCTGGAGCCTTGCTTTGGGTTGGCATGCTTCCCCTCCCCACTTTTTAATAAGGACTGTCTGCTTGAATGTGCTTGGATTGAATGGCTTGAAGCCTTGAGGAGAGGGAAGGGCACCATCTCTGTTTTCATTTTTAAGATCTCATTTGTTTGTCCTGGAGGGTGAATGGGCATCTCCTCTCTGACCTCCAGGGTTTCTCTAAAGACATCAAAGTCCCCAAAAGCCGCTACCTTGGCTACATCAAGGACTATGAGGGAGCCACCTTGATGGAGTGTGAGCTGAATCCCCGGATTCCCTACACAGAGCTCTCACATATCATCAAGAAGCAGAAAGAGGTGAGGACTGGGGACAGAAGGTGGGGGACGTGGTGGAGGAGGAGGAGGAGCAAGCATGGACATACGTCTTATTACTCCGTGTTTTACTCTAAAGTGCTGCTGGGCACATTTTGTGCAATGGAAACAATGCTTTTGTTTAATTAGGAATATGAATATTAGCTTTGTATTGTTTTCCATTAGAAACACTTTGAGGAGTGCTCCCTGTTGAGGATGGGGGTGGACTCCACTGGGTTCTTGTGCAGTTGAGAATCATGTATACATTAAACCCAGTGTCACTGGCTTCTGGGTCAGCTAGATTTTGACTGTCTTTTTTGTTAAGAAACTTAGGTTGCAATCCCAGGCACCAAACGTGCCTAGAAGAAAGTACTACACTCCCAGCATACCCAGCTAGCATCTAAACATGCCTAGGATTGAACCTAAAGTAACTCACTCCATCTTGAAGTTACAGGGCAAATAGGAACAAATTTTAAAACTGCATACATAGGCCACATGCAGACCTGATATCTGGTACAGAGGTTCAGCAACCTGACACTATGCCTTTGATATCTCTGGCCCATCCTCTACTCTGGGAATGGCAGCATTAGTTAGTTAGCCTTTCTTGAGTTGGAGGACCCACTAGCAGTCTCCCCTGACTTGGTTCCCTCCAGCTGGGTAGGAGTACAGATGCTTCATCATCCCCAGCCAGCAGGAGGGTCATTGGGTGTTTGGAGGCCAGTACATCTGGAAGATGGATAAAGGGAGGCTGCATATAGGTCTCTTCTCACTTCTGTTCAACAGAAAAACCCTAACACAGAAATATTATCATGGTGTTTCTGGAACTGGAGACCTTTCTGGAAGAAAGACTTTACTTCCTGATGCTGCCAAGACAATCAGCTAGATGTGTTTTGGGGGTATGAGGGGAAGCATCTGAAAGTGAGACTGGAAGCTGAATGAGAGCTTTGTTCCCCCCACTGTATTTGCATTTAAAGCTGCAGCTGTCCCAGGCTCTGAAGAGCACCTCCACCATTTGTGTGTGTGTGTGTGTGTGTGTGTGTGTGTGTGTGTGTGTGTGTGTTTGATCCCTTTAGTGCCTTTACTGGCCTTCCCTGCTCCTGTTCACATTTCTTCCCACCATGAAACTTTTCATTTCCACTTAAGTCTTTACCACTTCAACGTTTGCACAGATGTTGAGATGACTTCATACTCTTCCATGCAAAACTTTCTGTGCACAAAGTAACCTAGAATCCTTCACCCTGAGATGCTAATTTTCTAAGCAAGGATTTATACCACCCCCCACCCCCACACCATGGCATTTAATTGCTGGCACCTCCTGCAGGCTGAAATGGCATAGGTCAGACACAGATTTTCCACCTCGTTGTGTATTTCAGTCCCTAAACCTTCCATGGGTGGTCCTTATGGCCTGCAGTCAGTTATGATGGGAGCTAGAGTATAACAACATCTGGAGGGACACAGATTCCCCTTTCCTGTCCTATGCAGTGAAGTACATCAGATTCAACATCTGCTTTCAGTTCTGCCCTTTCCAGCATTTTCCCATCGCCTTGGCTCCTTGGAGTGCAAAGAAGTCTTGTGAATGACTTCTTTCCACCCCAGCCCTTCAGGGCTCTAATTTTGCAACTGACCTTTGATTAATTGCCTGACTATGCATCCACTTCCTCCCCTTCCCTGCTATCCCCTCTCTCTGCCTGGTTCCGATCCTGCAGGAGTGCTCTGGCGAAGATGACACTCCAAAGTTCTACCAGTTGCTCTCTCTCTCCTCCCTGCCTCTCTCTCTCTTTCTTTCCACAGATCATCAAGAAGTTGATAGAGAGGAAGCAAGCCCAGATCCGCAAAGTCTACCCTGGCCTCACTTGCTTCAAGGAGGGCATTCGGCATATCCCAATTGAAAGCATTCCCGGCATCCGTGAGTTTCTCAGGGTTATGACTGGGCGGCAGTCTTGGGGGCCGCTTGAAGTGCAAAGTTGGCACAGCTTGAAGAGAGTGATCAAGTGACCAGTAGCAGTAGTTTCAGTCATGGGTTGGGAGCAGCTTTCATCGAACCTTGGCTGTGTCGTCTTTCCACCCCTTCACTTCCTTGGGCAACGGGCGGATTGATGAGGGCCTTGGAGCTGTGCCGAGCGCGATGACCTTGGTGGAGATCTGGCCACAGGCTTCTGTGGGGGCCCAGGCCCACTCGGGCTGCTAGGATGGTGCCACATTCACTTCTTCTACAGGAGTTCCTCCCTCTTTCTCCTCCCTTCTGCCTGCAGAGGTGAGGCAAGGAGGCAGTCGGGGGGGGGGGGGGCGGTTTGTCCTTCGTAAAGGCAGCTTAGGGAATGGGGCTCGTGTCCCGATCCCAGAAAGTCTTATTGCATCTGTGGGAAAACTGCACAGGAGGAAAAGGTTTGCCTCCTGCCTCTCCATTGCCACAATTCAGAGCCTCCTTTCCCAGCCCTGACTGCTATGTCAACAAGAACAACAACAGTGGGAGATATTTATTTGTCACATACGGTACCAAAGTGGGGGAACAACTACAGTGGTACCTTGGCTCACGAACTTAATCCATTCCAGGACTCTGGTTGTGACCCAAATGGGTCGTGAGCCAAGTTAAATTTTCCCATAAGGTTCATTAAATAAGGTTAATTTGTTCTGTAGCTATTTTTTTAATCAGGAAAATGTGACGCAAAGTGACAAAGGACAACAAAGATCACGGTCATCTCCCCACCACCACCCTGAGCAGGAGCACAGCCATCTCCCCACACCCCCCAGCACGACCAGGATCACGCCCGTCATCCCTGCATGCACCCGTCATCCCAGCGCACTGCAGTGGGGAGAGGTGGGCAGGAACGCAGGGGAGCTCAGGTGGGGGAGATAGCCAAGATCATGGTTGCGCTCATGCAGGAAAGCCGGGCGTGATTTTGGCCATCTCCCCCCACCCGACCCCCAGCACAATCGTGGCCATCTCCCCCCCAGCACAATCGCAGCCATCTCCCCACGCCAGCCCCCAGCACAATCGCGGCCATCTCCCCCCCCACCCCACCACGATTACAGCCATCTCCCACCCTCAGCATGATCGCAGCCATCTCTCCACTTGGCAGGTGGGGAGATGGCTGCGATCGTGGTCACCACCCAATGCAGAATTTGCGGCCTGATTCAAATTTTTTATGAAATGTTTGTTCACAACCCAATGTGGTTGCTTTATTCTGACAACCTGGTGCCCCCAAAATGTCTTGGGTATCTTCTAGCCAGCCATACTGCCTCTATCACAAAACATAAAATAATCATGCCCAATTTGGGCCCTCCAGATGTAAATAAACTCTCATCATCCCCAGTCAACCTGGGATCTTCTAATATATCTGGAATTGGGCCTGCATAGGCAGGTGCGACTTCCTGAGGGTTCCTCTTCTCCACCTGCTTTTCATTTTTACAAATTAGCACCAGCACTGTGGGAACTGCCTTTTTCTCATGGATAGTCCTTTGGTTTCTTCGGAAATAATTCATGACCCTTCCTCTTTTCCAGGAGAAACAGGATGGAAGCCCATGGGAAAGGAAAAAGGGTAAGCTGGAAAACGGGTAAGCATTTGACTTACTTATTTCCCTCTCTGCAGTCCTTCCTCTCCAGCTTCAGCAAGATCCTTACATACTTTGCAAAATGATTGTGAGACCCTAACCCTAACCCATTCCAGATCAACCTTAAAGGACCACCTGTTCATTAAAACATTCTAGTTCTGGTGCACTGTAGGAATGGTAACGTCTCTTAAATTTCTCCTTTGAACTTTTCCCAAAATACCATCTCCTTTGTCACAGTCCAGCTGGTTTTGATATCTTAATAGGCTGTCCTGTAGATTTAGGAGGGCAATTGGCAATAAATCTGCCCCCACTTTAAACATTGTTCTTGAGATTCAATTGGACATTTACGGAAATGCAGACAAGGAGCAGCAAGGTGGGCAAACCCTCTCACAGCAATTGACAAGGTGGACTTTGATTTTCTTTTCCAGGAAGGAGCTCAAGGATCCAGACCAGTTGTACACCACCTTGAAAAATCTCCTTGCACAAATCAAGGTGATGACTTGATGCACACACACGCATAAAGCATGCATGGCAACAGTGATACTGGATAAATTGGAGAACTTTTCCAAAGTGGATGTAAAGCAAGTAACTGCTGTGGGGGCGTTGTCTCCAAACAGTGTCAAACAATAAATTTATTATGGCCAACAATGATACACAATGTGTTATGCAGGTTTTTGAGTTACACAGAACTCTTCTTTAGTTGGATATTTAATATCTTTCTCCTTTGAATGTTTTGTTTGGTATAACTCAAAACCCCTGTCGAAACCCCTATCAATCTTACTTGGTCCTAATAAATTTGTGTTGTTATTCTCTCTAGAGAGTTGTTGTGACTTGACTACCTAATGTGCTCTCTTTTGCCACCTGCCAGACCCACCCCAGTGCCTGGCCATTCATGGAACCAGTGAAGAAATCTGAAGCTCCTGACTACTACGAGATCATCCGTTTCCCTATTGGTAAGTAGCTGGATCACTTGTTTCCCCATTGGTAGGTAGGTAGCTGGATCTAACTTTGCTTGGAGGACTGATCAATTTTTCTAAATTAAAGGGCTGGTACAGTGGGACTCAGTGTTACAAATGCCTGAATTCATGGAGATGAGTTTCCTTTAGGATCACAGTCCTTCCCAAAAACAAGGGAATGTGGTTTGCAGTATCATAGCCAGAGCATCCATCCAATTCCTGTGAGTAACAACTTGCCTTCTGGGGGCAAAGAGGGGCTTTCTAGCTCTCTTGAGTGCAGGGTCGAGTTTAGAAATGCAAAGGTGGTGTCATCTTTGAACTTCAGTCTGCATTCATGTGAACCAAAGCCAACAGCCCCACGTGGTCCCAAAAGAGAATAATTTTTAGTTTCGATTCTTGTCTCCCCCGTCACCCCTGCCGTGCTCTTACTTACGCCATTTCCCCTTCCTGCTTGCAAGGAACAAAGTGTATAATAAACCATGAAGCCCATACTTCCTTTTGCAAAACTCTGTCCAAGTGGCCTTGTCTCTTCCACCTCTTCATCTTCCTCCTCCTCCTGCAGACCTCAAGACAATGACAGAGCGACTGAAGAACCGCTACTATGTCACCAAGAAGCTGTTCATCGCTGACTTGCAGCGCATTATCACCAACTGTCGTGAATACAACCCCCCGGAGAGTGACTACTGCAAGTGTGCCAACACCCTGGAGAAATTCTTCTACTTCAAGCTCAAAGAAGGGGGGCTCATCGACAAATAGGAGTGGCCACTGACCACATGGGAATTTTTGCCTCCATCTCTTCCATCTTGTTCGAAACTCTTCTGGCTTCTGAGCGGCTGGACATTTCTCCTGTCTGCCTTTTGCTGAGTCTCACGCACAAACCGATGTTGTTGGCTGGATATAAGAGGTTTCCTGTGCATGGTTGGATGTGGGGTGAGAGGGGGAATACACGCACAGGTGATCATCTCTGAACGCTACTCTCCGTTCAACAGCCTGGGAGTTTTTCTCAGCCCTGTTAAATTCTGAGCCTTATCACTCTGTCCATTGGGCCTTCCTTTCCAGAAGAGAGCAGCTGGGAGGAATCTGAATGATGGCTTTCTCCCCTTTTGCTAAAAAGGGTTCTTCATCATCACATGAGCATCTGAAATCTAATGAGGGACCTGATGCAGCTTCTCTCCCCACCCCGGTTTCCCTTTTGTGTCTGTGGGTTTTCTGTACTTCCATGCTTCCTGGAGAGAGAAACTCCAGAAAGCTTCATCTGCTTATATGCCATTCTTGCTTTCAGGTTCAGCCATTTCTTCTTGACATGTGAATGTAGAAAAGGAGCAGTCCTGGGGAAGAAGAGGATGAAGATTGTAGGGAATTAAACAGACTAAAGCAATAGGGAGCTTTTCGCCCCATCTGAGGGCCTTTGTGGTGACCATACCAGAAGCCCCTTCTTCTGTTTGGCCAGTTTACACATTCCACCTGCATGTGCTTTCCTTTCCCTCAAAGGATAGGGGACTTTAAACCTTGGGGTTTCAGTCACATAGGGCAGAGGCAAGAGTCCCTTTTCCTCCCCTTTTTAAAACTATGTCCTACTCAGTAAAAGCTGCCCTCATTAATTCCACCAAAACCCCCATGGCGGATCGAAACACTATTCTCTACGAAAGGGTGGCTGTTGATTGTGTATTCTCTGCTGAAGAACGGTCGCGATACATTGAGGGCTGCTTCCACACAGATGAGCACAGCTGTGCCTCTCTTCCTGCCTTGGACATCCCTAGCTGGCTGTTCTTTCTTCCCACCTCAGTTTAGAAACCATTCTGAATCATGGTTTCTCTCAGCACTTACTGGACCTCACAACTCTTTGGTCAGCTGCAGCTGATGGCTTTCTACTCTCCGACCTCGGGAACCCTCCCCTTCTACCAGGACTAGGTAGGCCTCTCCGTCCAGCTTTGGTGCTGCCTCTGACCATGTCAGTGGTGCTCATGATTGTATTTCTCTCTCTCTCCCCCTTATCCATCTGACAGGCACTTTGCTGCATGTACATCTGTGAGTATCAGATGTGTTGGTTATTTCTCATGCCCAATTTAGGGGGATTAGGAGATATTTTACGTTTTCAAATGGGGTGGCCAGTTGTGCCACTAGCCAGATGCTTTAGAACAACCATTCTGTGTGATAGATTAGGGTAATGTTGACAGCTACTCACAGCCTGGTTGCTTGCCTTAAATTCCTGTAAATTTGGGGGTGGTTAATGCAAGTGCCGCCATGTCGTGACACAGAACTATAGCCGCCCCTTGCTTTCCCATTGAAAATCAAGAGTCCCAATAATAACGTGAAGTGTCCTAGATTTAGCCTTCTCCGCTGTGGTGCCCTTGATGTTTTGGACTACAATTCCTGGCATTTGTGCCCTTTGACCTTGCTGACTGGTGCTGATGGGAGCTGATGTCCAAAACATCTGGGTTGGAAAATAATGCCCTAGAACATTAATGAAGTTAATTGGTATTCTACATTAAATGGGGCTTATGGGTTGCCTACTTCTTTTCCTTCTGATACTGCCTGAAATCAGTTGGGCAATGGGAGAAAGTGACAGGGAGGGGAGAACATCTTGCTGTTAGGCATCACTCCTTCCCTCTCTTGATTTGATGAATCCCTTCAGAAAATGTGGAGGGGAGAAACAGAAAAAGTGCGCTGATGAGGTGGGAAGTCAAGAGGCACCCACGGACTGGATTCACACAACATGATGAGCCAGATTATGAACTGAGCATGGGTTGTGTTGTGTGCACCCAGCCATGCTAATTCACCATGGTTTGTGAACCACAAACGGCACACAACGATAGTCCATGGGTGCTTGTTGGGTTGTGAATGGTGGATTGTTCACGGTTCACACAAAAACTTGCAGTTCAGCACTTAGGCAGCCTGTACTCTGGGTTGTTGTGTTTTGTGAATTAGACCACTCACTTGCCAGTCGCTTCGCTCCCTCTTTGTGGATAGTCAGTCCAGGTGGACTTTGCTGGATCTAAGTACTTGTTCTAGAGGTCCTACTTTGGTTCCAGGGACTTGATGTAAGGTGTGGCTTCATATTGCTTTCCAACCAGATGCAAACATCAATCAGCACTGAGCATTTTGCCTCAACCACAGAGTCTAAAGAAGTGGCTTTAGAAGTTCCAGTGTGTCCCATTCTCTTCAACCTTATGCAGACTCATCCTCTCCTCCCCTTTCCTCTTATTATAGAAGAGTTATTTGCCCTTTGTGACTCTGAGGAACCTTATAATAGGGAGTGGAGAGAGGGAGGAATGCATTTAAGTGGTGATCTATCTGCCTTCTCTTAAGTGACTGTTGCCTTATGCCCACCACATTTGTGTGCTTAACCTGTACAATTGTGGGGCCTAGCTCTGGTGTTCTGGGCCTTTCAATAATGTTGCCATTCCATTTTTTAATAAATACAAGGAACAAAATAATTAAAAATATGTTCAAAGTGGATGAGGTCTCCTGGTTTCTTTTCGATGGACTATTTTTATTATCATCAGTACCCTGCCTTTTTCCTCTTGTGAGGAATCCTCTCCTGCTCCATTTTATCATGACGACAACAACCCTGTGAGATAGATTAGGCTGAGAGTGAGCAACTAGCCCAAATTCACCCAGTGAGAGCCATGGTGGAGTGGGGACTAGAACCCAGATCCCCAAAGTCTCCAGTCCCACACTCTAATTACCACACTCCTGGCTATTGATTAATATTTTTGTGATAAGCACTGACCCCTGCTAGAATTCCCTATTCTCTCAGTTGTATTCCTCAAAGCTGCTGGTTGGGGGCGGGGCAATAAAGGTTCCTATATACAGGAAACTGTATTTCCTGTTTACGCGCTTTATTTTGGGCTGTCTTGGGCTTGAATGAACAACCAAGACACATTAGCTTTGTGAAAGACCTGTTCCTAGTGGAGAGGAAGACAGCTAGATCTTGTTAAGGGTCAGCCCAGGTTGTCTATAGGATCTCATGATATGCACCAGCCCTTCCAAATTTACCTCAATAGCACTAATCATCACTGCCTTTAGAATAATCTTCTTGGGTGTTTTCTTTCTCACTAATTGTCCACTAACTTTGGGGGCCTGTTGTCACGCTGAAAAGTGTCTGAATTTCTACAATAGGGTATACAACAAGAGACTGGAAGAAACAGTCATAGCAAATTGGCTGATGAAAAGGCTGTTTCAATGCCTGTATCCCCATGTGACCAGAGGAGGAAAAAGCTAGAGTGTATTCCCGACCCTAGTTGCTCATATTTCCCTCTCCATTTGTTCTTCAGAGGAACTGGGGATTTCTCCTTGTATGGTCCTTGCCACCACCCACAGTGATCGACTGCCAGTGGCTATTCACAGATATTTCCTCATGACAGAAAACCACTTTTGGAGTGACTGTATTAGAACAGCCAAAATAGGGTACAAAAGGGCAACAGGAAGAGAGCAACTCTGAGCTCATGCAAAGCTCCTTAGCTATCTAACTCTGTAATCATATATGCTCAGTATCAGTTTGATTTATGTTTCTATGTATATATTTCTAAGGTTAAGTTGCCTTATACCTAATAGCTGTCAAGACAACACAAGAACAAAACATCCATACAAATCAAATTTAAAACTCAGTTAAAAACAGCAGAGTCAAAAACATATAACACAAGAAAATCTAAAAATGCAGATAAAACTACATAAAAACAGCAGCAGGAAAAGTAGGAAAGGATTCCTGGCCAAGGTGCTGAGAAGCCTGTCTAGAAACTTTGATTTATATGGAAACCCTGTTTCTAATTCCAGCTTTATAAATGATAGGGAGGCTGCAATTACTCTGAGGAGAGGGAAACGCGCTGTGGCCGCCCTCAGACACACCAGCACCTCTTTCTTTAGGATTTAAATACAGGTCAAGATGCCTTTCCACAGAGAACCGAGGAACCCGGTGAAGCTAGAAAACTGCTACCTTTCCTTCCAGAGGGCCGCCCTTGAGGGCATTCCCAGAGACTCGGTCTCGTGCCCGATTGGCTCGATGGGGATCGCCCATGAGCTGCTCGGCCGGCGATTGGCTAATGTACGCGGGAGAGGCCGGCTCATTGAGACTTAGGGTTCGCGCTGGCTTCCCGCTGGGAACCGGCCATGGCGGTACCGCGGGCATTGTTCGTTTTAGCGACAGTGGCGGTCGCTGCCGCCGCCCTTCCCGCTCCTGAGTGGGAGTCGATCGCCGGCTTACAATCGAAGACGGAGGACGCGCGGCAGGCTGCAGCGGTGCAGGAGTTGTTGGAGCGGCTGCTGGGCCCACGGGCTGCCTCCGCCTTCTCGGTGTCGGTCAACCGGTCTTTGGCCGGGCCCGGCGGACTCGACACGTACCGGCTGAGCTCGGGGGCGCCAGGGGTTGTGGATGTAGCTGGTTCCAGCGGGGTGGCCGCCGCCTCAGGTGTCTACCGCTACCTGAAGGACTTCTGCGGCTGCCACGTTTCCTGGTCCGGGACACAACTCCGACTGCCGGATAGCCTGCCGCCTGTACCCACCGAGATCGTCGTCACCAGCCCCAACAGGTGATTCTGTGCCGGAGGAGGAGAGCAAATGGTTTTGTTGCCTGTATTTGCTCCTAAGCAGGGGCATACCCGGTTACTGTAACCCTAACCTCGACTCGTGGAAGTAAATAATAACAATCTCAACATGTCCAGAAAGCAAAGCCCTACTCCAAATTTGTTAAAGAGAAGAAACTATGAGACTTTCAACAATTCTGTGTGGAAATGCAGTCCTGTAGATGCAGATTTTCTTGGCACAGATATGCTGTGACTGAAAAAAGCTGTAAATGTTGAATTTCTGATTATGTAGTGAGGCAGAGTGTCCCTATCCAGAAACAGCTTGACAAAGGTAACGCCAAATTTCAACCCTATAATGTAACAGGGCTTAAGGCTGGGACACTTAAATAACACTTTATCATAATTTATACGATGAAGGGGTTGGAGCAACTCCCCTGTGAGGAATGGTTACAGTAACTGAGATTGTTTAACTCAGAAAAACTGAGTAAAGGGAGACATGATAGAAATATTTAAAATTATGCATGGTGTGGGGAGGGTGACATTATTCTCCTTGTCCCATAATTCTAGAACTTGGGGTCATCCCATGAAGCTGATCGATGGAAAGTTTAGGACAGATAGAATGAAGTATTCCTTTGCACAGTGGATAGTTAAACTGCAGGATTCATTGCCCCTGGTAGTGGTGATGGCCACTAATTGGGATGGCTTTAAAAGAGAATTAGAAGGAGAAGGCTATCAGTGGCTACTAGCTTTGCTGGTTCTGTGCTACCTCCCTTATCAGAGGCAGCATGTGCCTGCATACACCAATTGGTGGTCTGGGCAAGCAGAAGCCTTGTACCCATCCTGCCTTCAGTCACCTGGCTTGCTACCATGTGAACAGTGTGCTGGACTGGATTGAACACTGGTCTGATCAAGTATGGCTGTTCTTGGTTACCTATTATTAACTAAATTACTGCTGAAAATGTGCAAAGTGGTTTCTCTATCCCCAGTTGGAAATAAAGCTCTACTAGCCCTCTGCAACTCAAGAGTGGCTGTAGAGGGCTTCCAGGTAAGAAGCTACTACTTCTCAGTGGTTTTGAACTCTGGCACCTAAATGGATGCCTTCTGGACTGAGAAAGGATTATTGATTTTAGGTCTAGAGACCTACTTCCCAGGGCTCATTGGGCTCCAGATGCAGTATGGAACAAGGCTATGTGTGTTTATTTAACTTTGCATATCTTGCTCCATCCAAAAAAGGTTTCTACAAGTGCAAAAGTTTACAAATAGCAAATAATGGGATTGAAAATACAGAAATATTTGCTATTTCTGTGTTTGATCTAAAATTATATTTGATCTGTTAGAAAATTCTTATTTTTAAAAGGCTTCATCCCACACTCAGCAATTACACACAAATAAACTCTCATATTATCTGCAGAAAAAACTTAAAGCTTATTAAAATATTTAGGAAAGAAAAGCACATGACCCAGTGCTCCTGGGACTGCACCTATTCAGGATGTAGATGTTTGAATAATCTTGGATTTTAACTAGCACCACCCTGGAGTGGTTTTGGTGAGATTTAATTGGTGACCATCCTGGTGAAGAAATTCAGGCTGCCATGACTAGTTCATGATTGGGGAAGGATTTAACACAAGTCCCCTCACAAACTGAAAGCATGCAAGAAAGGGTTGTAGTAGGGGTAGCCAGCACAATCCGTGGCTCCCTTACATGTGCTTTCACAACTTGAGGATGTGAAGACCTGTCATCTTGTATTAAGACTGTAAGCTCCTTCAGGCAGAGAATCACCCCTTGGTTATGCTGTTCTAAAAATGCTGGGTGCATGCATGCTTCTAGTTAAATTCCATCCGGCATTGATTTATACAAAGACTTATAAAAGCCTACTACTCGATCTGGTTTCTTTTCTTTTTTTTAAGGAAGTCTGGACAGTCATAAATCACATGGAAACATGTGGTTTAGCCTTGGTTGTTTTTAATATTAAATTTGGGAGTAGGGAACCTTAGTCCTCTAGTGGTTGGATTGTAATCCCTGTAATCCCTGACCATTAATCAATTGGGACATTACCTGGGACTGATGGGCATTAGGAATCCAGCAACCTCTGAAGGGCCAGTGTTTTAGGGAAGTGGAAAGATCCTTCCAATTTCTAATGGAGTGATAAAGCATCACTGCTGGTATTCAGTGACTGAGAAATGCCCAGAAGACTTTCAAGGCTTTGTTCAAAGTTCATTTAGAGGCAGCTTTTGTGTGTATTACACTGAAACACAAACATACACTGAAACAGATGCCATAGAATGGACATCTCTTTTGTGTACGGCACTTAATTTACTGTAGCAAGTGACTGTTAGTTCTTCAAAAATCAGTCTAACGTAAAATGGAAGGAAAATATTGATCTATTTTTCTCATTTTTGGTACGTTCTGTACAATGGATAGCAGTTCCTTAAAAATAGTACTAGTAAGTAAATTGCAACTACAAATTATTGCTGTGAAGTGGGAAGACTACCAAATATATTTGGGAAGGGGAGAGGTGTCTGCTTCCTTTTTGTTTTGCACCACTTGGAATGAAATGATCCCATTTGTGGAATTGTACTCTTGTATTGTTATTTTGATAACAGGAATGTAGAAAGAAAAAAGAATAAGAATAAAGGGGGGGATAGCAAAGAAACACCAAGGAATAGTAAACAAGTATTTCACAGAATATCAAATTTAAAAGGTTTTGCTTTGAATCGGTGGTTATTATCCTTTCTACGTCAATCACATTTTTTGAACTTCAGTTAAAATTAATTGAAAATTGATTCTAAATTGTGATTCCTTAACTTATCCTGTATTTACATTGACTAAACTTGCTATAACAACAACAATGCGATAATATAAACATTAATCTCTAACATATTCTCAGAAGTTATTTTCCCTTTATAATTTATGTTTTCTGTTATTTTTCCCATTAAAAAGTAAGTTATGCAAAATACAATTTCCATTTATCATCAGATTCTTTGGCTATTATCTATGTACATAATTAATCAGTCTTGCCCTTACACTTACTACATTACTTATTTTTCCAAGCATCTATAATTGATTTTTTTCCTGCTTTCCATTTTGAAGCAATTTTAACTCTAGCCACAATTGTCATGTACTTAAATAACTAATAGTTAATATTCATTAACTCAAGTTACTATGACAACGAGCATCAGTTTATCCCTAACAATATTTTCAAATTTTCTATTACAGTTGTATTCCCTGTGTGTCAAATGTCACGATGCTCTTAGTCTTTCAAAGATCAATCAAATTAGCTCAGATGTTTGAGGATGGCGTGCAGGGACCCAGAACCTCGTTAGAGAAGCTGTCCCTTGGCTTGTAGGTGGACAAAAGTCCTGGCAAGAATATAGGGGCTGGCAAGGCAAAAGAGAGTCTTCTGTGACCTGAATGTGCCATGCTGTTGTTGTCATCAAAAGCCTTGCTGATCTTCCACAAATCACCTGGAGTCCAACTGGTGGATCTAAATATGCCATTTGCCAAGGCTAACCAGAGCATTAACAAACACTGCTAAAAGTGTCTGTGGGGGAGAGGGTGTGTTCTGGAATATATAACAGCTGTGCAGAACTACCCTGATTTATGTAAATATTTATGAGTACTAGCATTCCACTTCTATCAGTCAGAGGACTTTGCTCAGCTCTAACGACTGGTCAGCTCCTAACATTTTATGAACAAGTTGCTGACATAGGCATGAATTTATCTATGGAACTGCTCTTGTCCCTCTTCTTTGCTACCCAGCTGTGTGAATAATACCTTTTCTCCATCCCACCAGCCCCACTGACATGATGGGAATGCTAGTGTTGCAGAAATGCCAGGCACCTTTAATGAAGATTAATTGGCAAGAATGTCAGGTTCATTGTGGAGCAGAGGAATCCAAAAGCAATTGTGTCTTAATACTTTTGCTCAGACCAACTAAAATGTCACCAAATAAGGCGCAAGCTTTCAGTTTCATCAGAATTCTTCTAGAGGTTGGATGTTAAGCAAGTAACAAAAAAAGCAGAAAACCAGAACCAACAAATATGGAAAAGGAGGTGAAGACAGAAGATCTTGCTTGCTATGATGAAAAAGCTCCAGGTTGCAATCTTAAAGCATTTTAAAATGGAATGGAAACTTAGGCTAGACTATATCAGGAGAGAGGAATGTCTTGGGTTGCATCCGTGGCCAGTAGGCATTCCCAAAAGTACTACGCTTTGTGGGAAAAGGCAAAATGTTCTTGAAATGTTCTGAACTCTTAATGATAGAAGAGATCAAAAGACCATGTAGTTTAGCTTCTAAATGAAGGTGGGCTTCGACATGCATCTGTGTAATGCTAGCCACAATGTGCCACAAGCAGAGAGCAGGTGTACTGGGGTGGAGGAGCAAATAGCTCCAGATAACTCAGACAAGTGAGCCAACCAGCAAGGACTTCATTGCTTTGTTAACCTTTCTCCCCAGGTTCCGGTTTTATCAAAATGTCTGCACTCAGAGTTACTCGTATGTGTGGTGGGATTGGGCCCGCTGGGAGCAGGAGATTGACTGGATGGCACTCCATGGCATCAACATGGCGCTGGCATTCACTGGGCAAGAAGCCCTCTGGCAGCGGGTGGAGTATTTGTTCTTTACTTAGCATCTCATTATGGCTGCAACCATATGTTAATACAAAATTTGCCTCAACCCAGTTTAAAGCAATTCACATTCAAGACCCCTCTTCTCTTCTTCCAGGTGTATTTGTCCCTGGGCCTGAACCAGTCAGAGATTGATGAATATTTCACAGGCCCAGCCTTTCTGGCTTGGAACAGGATGGGGAACTTGCACACCTGGGCAGGACCACTGCCACTTTCATGGCACCTGAAGCAACTCTATTTGCAGGTACCTGGTGCTCTTAGGCCAGCACTCAGGGGCTCCTTGTCCTTAGCTCTCACCTTTGGGACTTGTGTTTTCCTTCAGTATTCCCCAGTTAGAAATACCTACTGCAGTCTCAGTCCACTTCAAGAGGATGTCCCATTCATGCTACTGAAAGTCCAAGGTAGGCTTCAGGACAGCCAGAATTGCCTAATCACATGTCTGCTGCATTCCCATATAAAACGGGCCAGCAGCCAAAGCTTTGTATTTCACGCCAGTGGGGCTGATAGCTGTTCTAGAAGGATGGGGACTGAAATTAGTAGTGATAAAATGTGTAGTTCTTGACTTTCTTCTCACAGCAGGAGCAAGGTTGTCCTCTGTAACACACTTACCTGGCAAAAGCCTTTCCCAAGTTATTTTAAAGGCACACAAGTGTCTGTTCTTTACAGAAAAGGTATGCCAGGTCATTCTTCCACAGCCTGGGGAAATAATCTTCATCACCCTGGCATTAGTGGGGCCAGTATTCCATGCTGCCTCTTGTGCCCTCCAGAGGCATTGGAATACAACTTCCATGGCATGGCTGGCTGGGGGAGAATGGGAGTTGTAATCCAACACAATCTGGAGGGCACCAGGTTGGGGAAGGCTGTGTTGGGTTGTAACACAGTTCATCATAAGCCATTTGTCTTGCTAGCAGGTGAGGTGGCTAGCGGTGTGGTCCATGGGACTTTAGGAGTACACATTTGTGTTCCAGCCTTCCAGTGTTGAGGCCAGGGCAGTGGCGTACCTGGAGTGGCCTGGCCCACTTGATCCTTATAGTAGGAGAGGCTGGAGGAGGGAGCTGTGACTATGCACTGAACTAGGTGGCTGACGAGGGAATGAACACAGGTACTCTTGCTATTTCAGTGGCTGCTCTAATGAGCTACTGTACTTGACCATTTACCACTGGGCATTTGGAACACTTCATAAGGGGAAGCTTTGAGCACCTCCCTCTAGCAGCACCTCCCCCTTAGTGTCAGCAAAAACATCTGGAGGCCCAGTCCTGCCTCTCACACGTCATATGTGGGTTTGGCCCAAGGAATCCACAACCCTTCCCTGAAATGGGGGCCTGCTTCAGGAACTAACAGGTGGGGATAATCAGGAACAAAAATGGATACTTTGTGGGCTTTGTTTACACTACTCCATCCTGCCCTCTTTCCCTTTCCAGCACAGGATCCTGGAAAGAATGAGGAGCCTGGGGATGATCACAGTGCTGCCAGCCTTCTCTGGACATGTCCCCCGAGGTCTTTTAAGGTAAAGATTGGCCATGCTTCACCTGAGGGAAAGGAGCAGGGTTAAGATATGAGCACAAAAGATTGCTCTGTTCCGTATCAGGCCATTGATCTGTCTAGCCTAGTGTGACAGGCAGTGGCTTTCCAGAGCCTTCCCTAGCCATACCAGGAGATGCCATGAACAGAACGCCCAATCATTTGCATGCCAGGCACCTGTTCCACCCCTTAGTTATGTCCATTCCCGTGATGTGTGGGTGAAGCTGTGACTCAGGATGGTGGAGGGTGGTGGGCATTTTGGGAATCAGTGAGAAGTTGGTCAAATTGTGTAAACTTGAGAGAACCCTGGGTGAGAATTCCTGAGCCTAGGCAGTGTGCATTTTTTTCCTTAATATTAAGCTATTCGGCTTCGAATGCCTTCGGCATCAGAGGACATGTAGAGTGAGGCTTCAGGATAGGAAGCCATAATCTCCATCTGTTTCCATTCTGCCTGTTACAAAAGGGTGGAATGGCAGGTGTGACAAGGTTGATTGCAGCAGTGATCAAAGGATGAGGTTCCTACCCTCTCTTCCCACCCTCTGTTTTTTTGCAATTTCTTCCCCTGGTTGTAATTCTAAGCAAGAATTACAGCATTTAACATGCACACAATGCATATGAAAGAACAGATAATGCTACAGCTCCTTCTGGATTTCTTTTCTTCATCCCAGGGTATTTCCCCAGGTCAATGTCACGCAGCTGGGGAACTGGAGCCACTTCAACTGCACCTACTCTTGTGTCTACCTCTTGTCACCCGACGAGCCCATGTTCCAGGTCATTGGGACCCTCTTCCTAAAAGAAATGATCAAGGAGATTGGTACAGATCACGTATACAGCGCTGACACCTTCAATGAGATGCGCCCCATCTCTGCAGATCCTGCCTACCTATCCAAGGTCAGCGCAGCTGTCTTCCACTCCATGACTAGAGGTATGGTGCAACAGCTTCTCTTCCCCTTCCCCTTCTCCAGTCTTCTCTGGCATTGGTTTGTTTTGCCCATTTTGGTAGCTGTGTAAGCTTAAAGGGTGATGGTAGGCTAGAGGAACTGCCCCATGGAGAATTTGAGAGTGCGCACCAGTGCTAAAGAGAGCTGTGAAAATGGCAGGGTTGCTTTTTAATCCATTTTATTCATTTATAAAAACATTCATGTACCACTTTCCTGACCCCATAAGCAATAATGCACAATCTTGATAAATATTGTTGATTAGTTTATTTTTAACTTGGTTTGTGCCCTGCCTTGCTCTAAGAAGAGGGATTCATGGCAGCTTACAATCATAGGAACTATAACCCATTTCAAATAAAAGCTTGGTTAAAGCAATAGAACAAATACATTAAAAACACAACTGTGGTAGAACAAAATCAGCACCCAGACCAGCTTACCCATGTGCTTGCATGAACACCAAAACATAGAAACAGTGAGACAGAAGGAGTCTCCTGGGCCATCTAGTCTGATCCCCAGCTCCACTCATGACATGCCTACCATGTGCATGTCCAGCCTATCCTTACCCTTAGAAATGTCTTTGCCTAATGGCAAAAGGACAGCAAATTAGCTGTCCTTGGCAGGGAGTTCCATAGTGAAGGAGCAGCCACTGAGAAGGCCCGTCCTCTCACTGCCACCAAACATGCCTACCAAAAGAAAGGCTTCTCCTGAAGATCCTGAAACCAGGGAAAGTTATATTGAAGACACCAGTCTTTCTGGTAGCCTGTTCCCAAGCCATACAAGGTTGTATAGGTCATACTATACTATACTACACTATACTATACTATGCTATAATATAATATAAGCCACCAGCAAAGTTAACTGACAGGCAGGTTCATGCAGGAAGTGTAACTCTTCAGATATCCTGTTGGTACTGCATCAAAGCAGCAAAAAAATCTTCAGCCTGAATAAGTTACAGATATGAAGCAGACAGGCTGCTCCCATAATTGGGTAGCTGGAGTTGCTTTGTAAAGCACAATGTTTGGTTTCTTCTTGTCCTGATTCTCCTCTCATCTTCTGTTTGAAGAGTCATTAGGCAACAGCAGAGCAAACCTTTTTATTTTGCTAAGCCAGTCCCACCACCCCAGTACAGTCCAAGGCATCCCTTTTAAAAAGGATGATTCCTAGCAAGGCTGGGAAATATATTGATTTAATTTCTATGCTATCCTTTCACTAAAAACAGTACTCAAGACAGCTGGCAATAAAAAAAGATATTAGAATTTAAAGCACAGTGGTACATCTGTAAAAACATCACTTGAAAACTAATCCATTAAGAATACATCTGCTAAAAATAACTAAACAGCAGGCACCAGATTAAAACCTAATTCAGATTAAAACCGAAAAGCTGTTGAAATAAAACTGACTGTCACTCAGCAGAAGGTCAACAAACAAGACAGTGAAGTTCTGGGCTGATTGGCCAGTGGTTTGACTTTGAATTAATAACAGGCACAAAGAAGTGTAACCCAAAAAGTAAACAGCAAAGAAGCACACATGTAACAGGTTGGGATACAGAATATTCAAAATCAGAAAACTACAACATGTTTACAAAATCATGTAACTGGCTTTTAAAATACCTTGAATTAAAAACCACACTGCATAGTGGGCTTCCTGTGAAATAAACACTCCTTGTAACCACTCTGCTCAAACATAATCTACAACAGCTGTCCATGAATTTTTGAAAATACTGTCTAAATTTGAGTATTACAGATCACTATTTGTTATGTTGCTTTGCTGGCTCTGAATAAGGAAGCTTCATCTGTTCATACATAGCCTAGACTATTATTATTTTTTCTTCTGCATACTTTGGGGGTCAGAAAGTATGGATGCCCCCCCAAAAGGTAAGGGTAAATGTGCATCTTTGTATACAGTTTCTCTTATAGAGGAAAGTGATTTGCATATATTATCTCAGCACCTCAATTCAACCCTCCTCTCCTTTGAGACGGTACTGATCACACGCTTTGTAGCTTGTTGCCTTGATCATAAAGATTCCATTTTTTAAAGAAGGGGTTAAAAACTGAGATTCTCAGACTCCTGCATCTACTTCCAAACTTCACATTTGTGCCATGTGACTTTTATGGAGTCTTGATGATAAACAATTAGCAGGGGTAGCTTGACTTCATTTTTGGCAGCCTTTGATGCTAAAAGCAGTTCCTAGGAAAGTGTATTTCTGTGACTAGAGATCTATCTATCTATAAATGAGAAGCATACAGAAAGTGAAGTGTCTTATTGGGCTGTATATCAAAGCAGCTGTTTGCACCTCTGTTTCTTGGGCCCTGTTACTCTTTCTTGTAATAATTCGCTATGTCTTTTCCAACAGCTGACCCCAGTGCCCTGTGGCTGATGCAAGGCTGGCTTTTTCAACACCTGCCGGATTTCTGGAAGCCAGCCCAAGTCCAGGCCCTCCTGCAGGGTGTGCCTCTCGGCAGGATGCTGGTGCTGGACCTCTTTGCGGAATCCAAGCCTGTCTATCCATGGACAGAGTCCTTCTATGGACAGCCCTTCATCTGGTGTATGCTTCACAACTTTGGTGGGAACCATGGCCTTTTTGGCACGGCAGAGAGTATCAATCAGGGCCCTTTCGAGGCCAGAGGCTTCCACAACTCCACCATGGTGGGAGTTGGCTTGACCCCAGAGGGTATTGAGCAGAACGATGTGATGTATGAGCTCATGACAGATCTGGGTTGGCACAAGGAGCCGATTAATCTCATGGAGTGGGTGGCCAACTATGCCACACAGCGCTATGGTGCCATGAATGCCCAGGCAACGCAAGCCTGGCAGCTACTGCTCCGGAGTGCCTACAATTGTTCGGGAGTTTGCATCAACCATAACCACAGTCCACTTGTGCACCGCCCTTCCTTGCGGATGAACACGGAGCTGTGGTACAACAGAAGTGACATCTACGAGGCTTGGCGGCTGCTGCAAAGTGCAGCCAGCACGCTTGGCACCAGCAGCACCTTCTGCTACGACCTGGTGGATGTGGCACGCCAGGCCGTGCAGCAGCTGGTTAGCGACTATTACATGGAGATCAAGCAGGCTTTCGAGAGCCACACACTGCCCCTGCTCCTCACAGCCGGTGGTGTGCTGGTCTACGATCTCCTCCCAGAACTGGACGCTCTTCTGTCAAGCGACAGGCGCTTTTTGCTGGGGAGCTGGCTAGAGGCTGCCTGCACAATGGCCACCAGTGCCAGAGAGGCGGATCTGTATGACCTCAATGCTCGCAACCAGCTGACGCTCTGGGGACCCAGTGGCAATATCTTGGACTATGCCAATAAGCAGTTTGGAGGGCTGGTGCTGGACTATTATGGGATGCGCTGGAGCCTCTTTGTTTCTACCTTGGTGAAATGCCTCAACACAGGAACGCCTTTTCACCAGAGCCAATTCAACGAAGCTGTTTTCCAAGTGGAGCAGGGATTTATCTATAATGGGAAACGGTACCCTGACACGGCTACAGGCAACACACTGGACATAGCCACAAAGATATTTCTGAAGTATTACCCTTCTGCCATGAAACGCAACCACTTGAGGGCTATGTGATGGACAGCTTAGCTTTCCAGACCATCAAGTCCAAACAGCTGAATTTGTTTGGTGCCCTGAGCCAGACTGTCTCTGACCAGCTTGTCATGGTGGTTTCTTTGGGTGCATGTCCCAGTTGTATTGGAAATGGTGGTTTGAGTGGGGTGGAGGGGTAATATAGCGAGCCTGGCAGTGCCCAATATCAGTAAGAAGAATGCCAGGGCTAAAGCCTGCTTCCAAGTTGTGCGCTTTGACCTTGAAGCCCTCCATCCTAGCAGATAAGTTGAAACTGGCTGGAATTGGCGATAAGTATCTGAAACTCTGCAGATGCTCTCAAAGGCATTTGCTTTCTTTATTCATGTGCTCCTGAGCTGGCTCAAATGGGCTTCAACAGTGTGGAAATGGGCACTACAGCCTTAGTAGTGGATGGTCACTAGGCCTGTTCATCCAGCTCCCTGCCCATGTCTGGGACCAGGCCAGGATGTGGGGGGCCAGAGACAAGACAGAGGCACTAGGTCCAGGGCAACAGAACTTGAAGTGAGTCCAAAACCAAGGTTTGATGGCAAGGCCCAGTCATAATCATACTGCAAGCTGAAGTAAGGAACCAGGAAGACAAACAGGTGCAGGTACCTTGAGGCAGGCTAACTGGACAGATACACGGTAAGGCAGGATACTGGCTGGCAAGAGGCAGGCATGACAATTGCTGAGGCAGTTGGCAAGGCAAGATACATGGGGATGCAGGATACACAGCAAAATGCAGAAGACCCAACAAACGTCAGGCGGGATTTAGGCACAACAGCAAACAGGAGAACCTTCACTGCCGAGGCAACATGGCAAGGCAGGAGCCACAACGGGAACCAGGAGCAGGAAAGACCAGGCAAGAGGCAGGCCCAACAACAAAACAGAAGGATCTATATAGCTAAGGGCACTTCTGGAGGGAAGAATTTGCTGTTATATAGCTCTTCCCCCAGGACTCCCAGCTGGTACTCATCAGGAGCCTAAGAGCTCCAGTAGGACCTGGGACTGACCCAGCAAATAGCAAGGTGGAGATCTTGGCCAGGCTACCAAATGGAACCCTGGAGCTGCTCAGATTCTGACAGCCCAGCCCTCTTTCCTCCCCACAGGTCATCCTATGCAATCAAGAACCATGTGGTTCTAGACTCCAAAAGGTGCTAGAGGAAGGGATCACTCAAGATGGCTTGTGCAAATGAGCCAAGCCACATTTCCAAGAATTTGAGAGGGGGTCATTTCTTACCATTCCCGAAGAGATAAATACTCAAGAGGGAAGATACCACATTGATAGTAGTGAGTGATATGGTTCATTTCCTCATTTGGAGGAGAATCTTGATGGGGTTGAGCGTGAGATGGTGGTCTGGGCCTTTCTGCTGAACTGGCTGTTGATTGGGAGCTGGAGACATGGAAGTGGAGGGTGGGCCTGGGGCTTATGCCTTCTACAAAGCACTGGAGTATTAGCTTGTGTATCTTTTTTTAAGCAACATTTAGGTTGACATATTGGAATTGGACTTTCAGCTTCTGTTTCTTCTTCTGTTGAATGTTGGAAGTTCTGAATATTGTAATGTTGTGATGAAATTTGTTCCTACTGGAACTGCACATAAAACTTGGCATAGGTAAGCTGTTGGAAGGTGGGCATTGCTAACCGGCATCTCCTCCCACAGTTCGCTTGCTTGACCTGATGAATGCTTCTCCTTGAGTTGGCCAGAGCCTCAACCTCAGACGTCCTGTGGGTGTGGCTGTTAGCAACATAACATAACCAAGTTTAAGGCTTAAACAGCATCCCTGATCACAAATACTTCACAGGGCATTCTTCCTTGCTTTTGATTAGCAAATAGACTTGGTATAAGGTTATTCCAGAAAAGTAATAGGAAAGGTGCTGGAAAGAAGGAAGCAGGCCTGATGGTAAATGTTTCTGGATAGACCAGGAACAGTAAGAAAACACATACACTGTACATGTGCCTGTACTTTGCTGATGTCTCACAGGTGTCGTCGGTGGCTTGGAGTGCTTTCCCACCTTTGCCCAATGCACCAGCTTGCCATAGTTATTCTGTCCTCTTTATAGCTAGATGAGGCTGCTGTGATGCACTGGATGTAGGACTGCCTTTAAAGGGTCATCTAATACAGAATGCAGCCGCTAGCACGTCCATATGCATTCAGAGCATATAATGCCAATACTATGTTTACCAGCAATGGTCGCCTGTTTGTTTCTCGGCTCAACTTAAAATACTAGTGTTGATCTTTTGCACCCTAAACTTGTGGCCCTCCAAATGTTTGGAGCTACAGTTATTAGGAGACCTCCCCACTGGCTATGTGCCTAAGGCCTGCGAGAGTTATAGGCCAAGGAGGCCACCGGTTGCCTGCTTCTTCCCTAAACTGTTTGGGGCACACCTATTTAAAGGATGGTTTGTTTCCATCTGAACTTGCTTGGGCTTTACATTGGTCTCACAGGCCTTGCTTGCAGGGCTCTGTCAACATCCATCGGATAGGTTGAGTCCCTTCTCAAGGCCTTTTCAGTAATGGTCCTGAAAGAGAAGAAAGAAAATAAAACTGCAACTCGGAATCACCAGAGACAAAATAGATAAGTAGAGTTGGCTTAATAAAGACATGCATGGTTTAGTAAAGCAAGCAGGTTGTGTTCAAGACATAAAATAGTATAACCGTAGATAGAGAGCAATGGATATGGATGGGGGCATGTGCTCCTGATGGTTCTGCAACAATTAGAGTTGACAGTGATTGGTTAAGGGTTTTAACCAATAGGTGTTGCTATGGAGATGAGCTCTTATGTAAATGGAAGTGCCTGCATGCAGCTCAGGGTCTCCTCAGTTTACTCTGTGCAATTATTTTGTCAGTGTATTTTTTAGAAATAAAATAACCTTTCTACTTGTCTGTTGCAGTGTATGATTTGGGCCCCTGGCAGAAATCCAGTTTGTTTATAGATTTCTTGGTCAAGCGTCAGGGGGCACATCCCTAAGCAGGCTCCTCTTCTCCTTGCTATCACTGCTGCCTCTTGGCTTGCTTTCTTCCTTTGGGCCTAACCTGTACAACTGCCTAGCCAGAGGGAAAGCCAAAGGCAAGAGAAAGCGGCTGCCCTCTCCCCTTCCTCCTGTCACTGCCAGCTTGCTTGGAGAAAGAAGGTGAACAAGAAATGCCAGCTAGGAGGAGGAGGAGCAGACCCAAGAAGTTTCATATATTGACACTGGGCCCCCTACAGACGGGTGCCGGAGATGAACAGTACATAACCCTGTGCCCGTGGACAGAAGTTGATGCTTGACTGTCCCACAGGAGAAGAGTCGATGTGGAAAAAGCTTCCAGAAGGTTGAAATGCCATTAGCATGCAAAATGCAGACTTGCCCAGGTGTCTGAGCAATTGTGACAGCTCTTGAGAGTTTTTGACAGGCTATTGTGTTTTAATGTATATTTGTTGGGCCACTGGGATAAGTACACAAGTCAGAGATTTTTGAGGGTTGTAGAAGGACATTTAGATTTACTAGGCACTAGGGAAATTTTAAGAAAAGGCAGAGTAGGTTCTGCGTGAACCTGAGTAGAACCTGACTGATTAATTTGAAAAGATGGCAAAGCAGTTTTTATACTCACACCTAGGAACAAGCTGATATAAGCCATGGAGCGTCTGTTTTGGGATGAAACATCTCTGAGTGAGGAGGGTGAAAATGCTTCTGATTATTCAGATGGGGATGGTTGAAATAGGCAATAGGTATAATTTAAGACATAACAGCCAATCAAAGCACCATAGAAGGAAATACAGAAGCTAGAGACAGTTGAAGAAGGGTACAATGTATAAGTGTTTCTATGCTAAAGCTAGAAGTTTCTGAAGCAAAATGGAGGAATCAATGTTTGGTTTTAAAAGAACATGAACAGCAATGTGAGTTGCATATCACAGCCAATTAGGTTATTTAACACAGGAATTGGTGGGGGCGCACAAGAGTGAATTAGTGCACTGCTTAGTACCTCTGTTTCAAATTAGTAACCCAGGAAAACATTATTCCTGCATTGTTTCATGAACTCTGGGTTGTTTGGGGTTAAACAATTCAGAGTCAGGCCAACAATTGCTCATAGCATTTTTCTGGGTTAACTGTGGGTTGTTTAAACCATGAACAACCTGCAGTTTCAGGTTTGAACATTTCAAAGCAAGCCAGGAACTGTTCTGAGTGACTAAATGAAAACAGAAGTGTTAAACAGAATGCCCTGCCAATTCCTAGATTAAACAACCCAAAAATTGGCCATAATGTGTATAACTGAAACCCAGTGGAATGCAAAGACTTGGTGGAATATAATTGACTTTGAATATGTATTCTAGGGAAGGGTAGTGTCACTCTATATATCAAAGAGGTAATTGTGTAAATCTAAACAGAAAACTCCAAAGGACTACAGAATCACTGCAGTGTCCTGGCAAGGCCCTGTCCTATACCAAGTTATTTTTTTCTAGTGCTTTGATGATTTAGGCCTTAGTCAAAGACTGCCATTTTAATTTCTCATGATGCCCCCTGCATAGCATTACTCTGGGTTATTGTGAGAAATTAAAATGACAGCGCCAAGGATTGGTGCCCAGATTCAGTGGAGTACTGCTACTGCAAAGCCGGCCAGGAGCCCTCATTCATTCAGAAAGGAGCCCATCAGCAGACAAGTTGCTGCAGACCCACTCAAGCCTAGAGGATCTTGGAACTTCTCAGAAGAAAGGCCTTCAGGGACAGCTGAGATGCAACAAGCTGACTTCCTAGTGGCCTTTCAAGCATCTTTTCAACCCTGTCACAGTTCCTGCCTGGGATAAGAATGTTCCTTCTGCAGGGCAGGTGATGGGCTGAGCTGAGTGGGGTCACAACTGTGTCTCCAGCCATCAAGCACGCCATTGCCAGCCTACGCAAATTGACTTAAGAGCTCTTCAAGGCTCATATCTTCAAGTAGGACAACACTCTATTTCCTACTCCCTCTTTCAAAAAAGTTTGAAAATATATTAGTTTTGCTTTAAGATGAGGAATAAAATAGTGTACCCAGAGGGAAAATACCAAGGGGCTTTTAAAAATTTGTAATAAGCTTCAACGCTTACAGATAGGGTAGCAGTAGAGGTAGGGACAGAAATGCTAAGATTCATGGCCTCCAGAGGCAGGAAGTTCAAGCCCTTTCCCAGAATCAGAGCATCTGACTCAGGGAATGCTAATTGTCTACTCACCTCCTCTCTGCCAGGTAAAGAGTGGTGGTTGCTTTTTATCTTTCTCTCCCCTCCCCATACAGCTACATTGCTATATAACATGGAAAGAGAAGTATTTGCTCCTGCTTTGCATCTGGAAAACACGCAGCAACAGCACAAGCAAGGAATCTCTTTTTGCAGGAGTTGTCACAGAGGGTTGTTAGGGTCTCGATTGCTCGGTATGCTGAAATAAATAGCAGAACAGAAATGATTTGGAGGTGGTGGATTATATTCCTCTAATGGCTCAGTTGCAGTAAATTTAAATCAATGCATCATGAAAGTAATGGACTCAGCTGTATTTTAGGAAAATAGACCATGTAGTATTGACTTGATAAAATTAATGTTTAGTGTTGTGGCTGTAAAAGGACTCTGAACAAGACTCCAAAAGTGATAATTTAATGTTAGTAACTAGCAACATCTATCATTAAAAATAAAGTGTTGGAGGTGATGATATAATAGTGGTAAATAACATCATAAAACATGATGCTTTACAGAGCACAAAAGACCAAGACTCTATCCTCAAAGGGTTTATGAACTATAGTTTGACACAGGGTAACCAACAAGGAAGAGAAAAAAACAAGCGGAGTAAACAGGGAAAAAATATACCTGCTCATTATTATTAGATTGTATTTATATCTTGCCTTTTTTCCTCTGGGAGGAACCCATGGCAGCTTAGGTAGTTCTCCTCTCCAGTTTTAACACTGCAATTAGAACCTGTGAAGTAGGATAGGATGAGAGTCTGCGACTGGCCCAACTCACCCAGTGAATTTCATGGCTGAATTTTATTTATTTATTTATTTATTAAGACATTTATATGCTGCCCCATTTGCCGAAGCCTCGGGGCGGCTCACAATATGAAGAAAATTACAGTAGTGACAATATAAAAATAATAATCCCCTGGCCAATACTAAGCCCCACACCACACCCACTTGCATGTTCTCTCCCACTGCCTAGGCTTCCTTTGAGCTTACCTGAAGACTCCCTGCCCCCATATTTATTTTATTTATTTATTTATTAAAACATTTCTATGCCGCCCCTTGCCGTAGCCTCGGGGCGGCTCACAACATAATAAAATACACAATAAATTAAAACAATAACAATTAAAATATATACATTGGAATAAAATAAGCAGCCCTGGCCAAATAAAATTCAATGATATTAACATTTAAAATGCTGCTTAAATAAAAAGGTCTTCGCCTGGCGCCGAAAAACAAATAACGACGGCGCCAGGCGGACCTCTCTGGGGAGCGCATTCCATAACTTAGGCACCACCGCTGAGAAAGCCCTCCTCCGAGTAACCACCCTCCTAATTTCCTTCACTGAGGGCTCCCGGAGGAGGGCCTCTCCCGCTGATCTCAGGGGGCGACTGGGCATATATGGACGTAAGCCGTTTATAGGTCATCACCTTTCCCAAGGTTTTTGCTGCTGCTTTAATACAAATACAAAAAATGGGTGTGCAATTTTACTGGTTTTGATATTTACCCATTTTGATTACCTTGCATATGAACATGTGTAGCAGTTGAATAAGTGCTATCCCATGCTAGGAACCATGTGCTATACAATTCTACTTCAGACCAGAATTTACAATATTTGGGGCTAGTACTTCAAAAGTATAGGACTTTTCTAATTTTTTCCTTCGTAAGATGTGTGGTGGTCCTTGCTTCATTACCTGATTTTGGATGGAAATCTCAGAGACAAGTCTACAAGGTGACAGTCATTGCACCCAGTTTCTTAACGAACTGAACACTAAGTTCAAAATACATTTACTTCCCAGGCCTAAATCTATATTGCCTGCGCACCAGTAATAACTGAATCCTATCGCTTGGGTTCTTGTAGTTTGTCATGGTTTGTGCTTGTTCAGTGATCGAGGTGGCAGCTTGCCCCAGTAATGAATTTGCTTATGTAATAAGCATTAGTTTAGGCTATAGGAGTCAAATCTGCTAGCATTTTTTTCTATTTTTAAAGAGGTTCCTTAACTCATGAGCTCCTGATTTGGGAAGGCAGAACTGTGCAAACATACCAGTATAATTAATTCCTCATTAACATTACAAGTTTCAAAACTGAACATGTTCTCATTAAAGAAATCCCGCGATATGATATGATACCACTCCAGAAGGATGATTACTCGTTACTTTATAGTTTGCCCCCTTCCCTATTCACAGGCACTGAGGAGATTTGCTTTTGTTTCACACTCTTTGAAGTGGGGAATGTTTACAAATTCAATCTTATTTTCAGATTTGGGGCATTGTAAAATAAGAGTATACTGTTCACTTTGTGGAGCTGCTCCTTGTTTCCAGAGGAATGCAACTATGTTTCACCTAAGATCACAGGAATGCTTTCATGTCTTCTAATACTGAAAATAAGGAAATGGTTTTAAGGTGTCTTCTCCAAATAGTACAGGTGTGCATTGGGTTGGAATACAACTTGAAACATAAGCATGACCTTGAAACCTTTCTAGTGCTTCTGAAGCCACTGGAACCAGACCTGGGCCAGAACAAGGCTTGCTTACCAATTTGTTTCCCTTAAGCACAGTCTGGGAGTTAGGAAGATACACTTTGTAATCCAGGAGCATGCTTTACCAGGGTCTTCAGCCACTGCACTTCAGAGGTCATGAACTGGGGCCATGAGATGGCCATTCTTCTAGGCTACACTACTTTCTTTTAAGCTTTCAACGGATTTTTTGGTTCTCATAACTCCCTAATCCCTGCACCTATCCTTCTGAAACATTACAGTCTTCTTGCCTGGGAAAACCTCTATGGGGAGAAATGCAAAGAGAAAGGAGTGGAAGTGCATCATTCCTCCCCAAATTCAAGAGTTCCCCTTATATATAAACAACTGCATCTGTCCTTGTGAAATTGTAGACACCCCTCTAAATTGTTGGTAATTTTTAATTAGCAGTGCACAAGAAACGTAGGTACATAAATGTGTCTTATTTCTTTGGATTGCCCTCAAAAGACTTGCATATATATCCCTGCACCTATTCATATGCAACTTGGTAGGCTTAATCTTTCAGAAGATCCCTACAGATTTCCTTTAATTCTGCCAGTAAATAAAAAGTTCTCTATATATCTATGTGTGTATGATATTAGCAATTTCTTATGTAATCCCCTTGCAAGAG